CGCCCGGTCACGCAGACTTTACTTTCGAAGTGCTGCGCTCGCTTCGTGTACTAGATGGAGCCGTATGTATCCTCGATGGAGTCGCCGGTGTTGAAGCCCAGACGGAGAAAGTGTGGACGCAAGCTGGACATTATCACATCCCTAGGATCATTTTTGTCAACAAGCTGGACCGTGTGGGCGCCGCGTTCTCACGAACCGTTAAAGAGATAGGCGTTAGACTGCACGGATGGCCAGCCGTTTGCCAGATCCCATGGTGGAAGAACGGCAACGGCGATTTCGTTGGAGTCGGTGATGTTATCAACTTACGCGGTATGCTCTGGCAAGCCGGTGGTGATGGCAGAGACATTCAAGCTTTTGGGCTGCAAGATCTGAGTAAAACCGACGAGAAGTTTGCAGAAGAGATCAAGAAGGCGAGGATAGCCCTCGTTGAGATCTTGAGCGAGCACGACGACGTCATGGTTGAGCACTTCTTGGAACACGATGAAGACCACCTGGCTATCTCTGGACTACAAATCATGCAGTCATTACGCCGAGTCTTACTACAGGCACCACAGAAAGTCATCCCAGTCTTCGCCGGCGCCTCTTTCCGCAACATCGGCGTTCAACCGCTGCTCGACTCGGTCGTTGATCTACTCCCTTCACCCCTCGAACGACCAGATCCTGAGATCAGCATCTCCAACCAAAGCAGCACACTATCATCCCTTCTCGGTACCACAGCAGCAGCGCCAACGAAGACCACCAAGCCATCGAAGAAACAGCAGCAAAACAACGGCGAACTAGCCATCGCAGAAGTCAAAAACCTCAGCGCCTGCGCCCTCGCCTTCAAAGTCGTCAACGACGCCAAACGCGGCGTCCTAGTCTACGTCCGCGTCTACTCCGGCTCCATCGACCGCGGCGCCACCCTCTACAACACCAACCTCTCCCTCGCGGAGCGCGCACCCCGCCTGCTCAAAATGTACGCCAACGACGCCGTCGAAGTCGACAGCATCTCCGCCGGCCAAATCGGCGTGATAACCGGTCTCAAGCACGCAAGAACCGGAGACACGTTAATCGTCTACCGCGGCCTCCAAATGAAGGGCACACCGCCCGGCGGTCTTCACACCCTCCAATTGCGTCCCATCGCCGTCCCTCCCCCCGTCTTCTTCACCAGCATCGAACCGAACAGTCTCAGTGAACAGAAACACGTCCAAGAGAGTCTGGCTATCCTACTGCGTGAAGACCCCAGCTTGCACCTTTCCATCGACGAAGAATCTGGGCAGACTCATTTGGCCGGCATGGGCGATTTACATTTAGAAATCGCACGAGACAGACTACTCAACGATTTCAAAGCCAAAGCACGGATCGGAAAGATAGAAATCGGGTACAGGGAGACTATCACTACGATGACGCCAACGGAACCATACACATATACACTAGATAAACTCGTTGCGGGGAAACAGACGAAAGCAGCTATAACCGCTTCTGTGGAATCCGTGGAAGACAACAGTGTGATCCCGCTTTCCCCAGTCCAAAACCAAGTCGACGAACGACACGCCCGCTCAAACCCATTCGAAACTACATACCCCCTCCCAGACAACAACCACCTCCACATCCACCACCCCCCGCTCTCATCCCTCGACTCTTCGGCTCATAAACAGCACATCCCCCCACACCTCTCCCTCCCCGGTATCCTGCACGCCCTCCAAGCCGGTACATCCGCAGCCCTCGCCCGCGGCCCTTTCAACGGGTTCCCCGTCGCAAACACACGCGTCAGCCTCACACTGGATGCGAGTGCGCATCTCTTCCCCGAAACAACGTCAACAGCGATATCGATGGCTGCGCGCGCGGCTGTAGGAGCGGGGTTGAGGCAGGCGAGTGAGGCGCAGCCGGCTACGCTTATGGAACCGGTTATGGATGTGACGATTTTTGTTAATGAGGGGAGTATGGGGGCCGTGGTGCAGGATATTACGAGTTCGAGGGGTGGGCAGATTTTGTCGCTTGATGGCTCAGACTCTTCGTCCCTATCTTCTTCTTCCTCATCATCTTCTGATGACGCCCTTCCCCGCATCGACCCGCACCTTATTTACACGCCTCCCGACCCCTTTGCGTCGGGGACGGGTGATGTGGGCAGCGGCTTGAGCGATAGCCAAAGACAGATTGTAGCTAGGGTGCCGCTGAAGGAGATGGTGGGGTATTTGAATCAGTTGAGGGCGTTGACAGGCGGGAGAGGCACGTTTGTGATGAGTGTAGATGGGTTTGAGAAGATGGGAAGCCAGAGGCAGAGGGAGGTTTTGGATGCGTTGAGGGAGTTTTAGAGATCTAGAGGGAGTGAAGAGAGATGAAGTGTATGAGTAGCTAATGTAGTATAGAAAGTTGTGTGTATGTGTTCCAAACCATCTCAATGCTATGCGCGCAAGACATGCTATCTATGTATCGATCTATAATTTCCACTCATATCCCCCCTGTACATGATGACACACTCACGCCGTAAGCGCACTACTCAATCCCAGTATCCCCATTCCCGCAAACGCACTGACAAAGCACAGGCGTCTCGAATTCGTCAAATCCAGACTCTCGCCCAACAGCTGCAAGCTCACCATCGCCATAATCCCCGCAGTAACTGCAAACATGCAACCGTAAATCGTGTCCATGCCCTCGTCAGCGCCGTGCTCTCGACCCCTACCTTGGATCTTGAACCACAGTGCTGCGACACCAGCACCGAGGGGCTGACTGACACCACCCAGGACGGCAGAGATGAGCATGGCTTTCCAGCGGGAGCCGATGGCAAGGTATAGGGGCAGAGCGAGAGCGAAGCCTTCGGTGATGTTGTGGATGAAGAGGGCGAGGAAGATGGAGAAGCCGAGGGTGGGGTTGGCGTGGTTGGTGGCGTAGGTGATGAAGCCTTCGGGGATTTTGTGCAGGGCGATTGCTGTGCTTGTTTGGAGACCGAGGGAAAGGAAGGCGTTTGTTGGGACGTGGTGGTGGTGTTGTTGGGCCTCCTGGTCGTGTTCGTCGTGGCTGTGGCCGTGATGGTGGTGGTGGTCAGTGTGCGATGAGGTAGTCGAGGATGAGCGGCTGTGTTTTTGGAGGGGTCGGATCTCGTGTGCTGCGTGGCCATTGGTAGACGGTAAACTTGCAAAAGAGCTTTCCATGGTGGCTGGTCCGGACTTTGTAGGTACTAGAGGTGTGGTTTCGTTCACATCCTCCAACGCTGTTCGCCGATCATGGGGTCCCTGCGAAGTTTGGCTTCTGCTCATCCCAGATGGTCGTGTAACACTCAAACTGCCTAGAGACTTCCGTGACTGCAAGCGTGAAGGCCGTACTTCACACAGATCACCATAACATTGCCCATTGTCAGTGTCGTCACATGCTTTTTCGGCACCGACAATTAGTTGCGAGACTTTGGATGACAGCGTCTTGTGAAGCGATGGTCTCTGAGGTAGGGCGGCTTTCGAGTTCACGCTACTTGTTCCGTACGAAGTATGCTCGTCATGTCCGTGGGCGTGCGGAAGACTGAGCGGCTGCTCCTGCATCGGTTGGTGAGAATGCAATTCCTCTTCTTGAAATTTCCCCTGTTCCTCGTCATCGTGTTTGCTTTCGCAGTCGACAACTGAGTGTGGAATGTATTGGTGCAGTATTCCGGAAAGGACTGAGATGCCAAGAGCACCAACAAGGAAGCACCCGATCAAAGTCAGTATCGCATTGCGCGGTGACATGCCTCCCTTTTTCAGATAGTTCTTCGCGGAAGGAAGCATGCTGTATAGTGATGAGAAGATCTTAATCTAGGTCAGCAAGAATCGAACGAAGCCCAGCAGCTCCACTCACCATGACACCAAAAGAAAGACTCAACCCGGTCGACAAGAACGCATTACTCTCTTCAATCTTAAAGTTCCTCTTGCCAGGAAAATATCGCACAATGAGGTCGACGCATATTATCGAAGCTAGCCATCTTTAGCATCTCCCCAGTCTGAAGTTCTCGGAATCCCGGTCGATGGGATCAACCGCGGGAATAAATCTCACCTCCAAATGTACATGCTGTTTACGCGTTAGCTCATGTGCTCCCCGTGAAATCCATGCAGCTTCCCGCGCAATCGTCAATCATACCTATGCCGCTGACCGCAGTCATGATCCACCCACGCGTATCGTTATCGAGAACCATGGTGCCTGCCTGCAGGTATACACTTTGGGAAATGACGTCGTTATGCCAAGCTCCTTGTCGCTTTCACGGGTAGGGGATAGTACGCGGAAATGCAAAGGCGATCAGATTGTTCTAGAGAGCGGGCGGCAGGCGGATAAGAGATGATGAAGTTTGTATGTACAAGAGGGTCCTGGTCAGATGAGGCGTCTTCTTCGCACCGTGTTGGCCTCCTAGCGCGTCTGTTCCAGTCAAGGAAAAATCGGGTTTAGCGGCTTGGCGATCGTGTGATACTCGCGCGTGGTCATTGGCTGGAGCGAACGAGGCCGGGGTATCGCGTTTCGCCTCACGTTGGATGGCAGCTACAAATGGACATACAGAGGGAGTGTCAGTACTCGAGAGCACAATCTGAGGGTCTCAGAAGGACTCTCAAAGGACACGAAGAGGGTCCTGGATATAAGTGGAAGAGTGCATGAGAGGCAGACACACTAGTGCCCAACAAGGAGGCGGTGTATGAGATCAGACACGTGAAGTATGACATCTGACTTTGTGTGGCTGACAATCATGAGGCTACTGTGACTGTGACTTTGAAATTACGACTAGATGAAAGAAGAGAACAAGCCTCCACCTTGTCGATGAACACGTATTAAAGTGTTAGACCCAAAATACTCCTAAGCATCCTTGACCAGCCCGCGCTGTGCGGCCAAGGACGTTGCTCCCTATCCGAAGCATGTTGGTGACCGTAAAGGTAAAATTCTAGAAAGCTCGGTGAGCTGCCAACGCCGTGTTTCCCATCCATCCCGCTATGCATAACAAAGGAAAATTTTGAAGTACTAAATGAAGGCCGTGAGAAAGAAGTCGTCGTCGATGGTCGTGTCTCTAGCGATCAAGACTGAGGAGGCCTCGGAACAAAGATCTTGCTCCACGAACCAGGGCCGTGTTCGGGCTTCTCGTTGATAACAAGGAGATTTGGCGATGAGCAGTAACCGCCGGGCTCTGCTCTCCTCTCCTGCTCAACGTAGTGGCCTGCACGATCGGCTTCTGTCGCATTTTGTGCAAAAGCCGCAGCTGGGTGGTCGTAGATCCAGACTTTGTCCGTCACAAGCTCCCCTGGCTCCTCAGCGAACCGGGCTTTCTTATCAGGAAAGCCGACGAAGTAGTTGAGGATGTCGTGAATCGGAGCGTAAAGACGTTCCGGGCGACGAATGAAAGAGAGCCAGCTCAGCGTCTTCTCGTCGTACGCTACTCGAACGAATGGATTCATGTATATCCTAGATTCCGCAGGTCGGCCTCTTCCAGACATGCGATACTGTAGATCCGCGTGGATCAAACAGCACTCGGAAGCCTCCCAGAAAGTTTCGTTGTCATGACGGAAGCGGAGCGGGAAGATGCTGTGATTAGGCGTCCCATTTTGCGGGTTGGCGGGTTCGGGCTGGACTCCGGTCTCTGACTGGAACCATTTGGCGTCAAAAGCCACCATGCCGCCCCAGCAACTCCGTACCCGTACCGCGTCTTTCCCTGCGAGCACATCACTTCTGCTGGTCCCTGTTCCAGCGCTGGTGAACCACGGGAAGAAGGGTAGCCCGGTGATCATGCCGTCGAAATCGCGCGTCGCGAAGCGGTCGTAGAACTTGAAGGGCATGATGTGGTCGACAGCGCATGCTGCAGCGTAGTCTGCCCGTCCAGTCGAGTCGATGTTGGTCGCGAAAAGAAGCTGCGCAGCTTCAACGGGGTCGAAGTTGACATCGTTCAGGTACAGGACCTTGTCGAATCTGACCCCAGGCTGGTCGATGGGCGCAAGGGCTCGGTTGCGCACCTCAGCAAGGAATGCGATGCGCTTGAGGCGTTTCTCGCCGTTGGGTAGCGTAATGTGGGGAAGAGAGGCGAGGTCGAGATCTTCGGATACAATGGTCGAGTTGCCTGGGGGTTGTTAGCGATCTTTGCACGGCGGCACGAGGCGAAGCGTCTCACATTTGACCTGGTCGCGGAACGAATCCAACGACTGCTTCGTCACCAAATCTGGGTTATCCTCATATATGCTCAGATGGACATTCTCTGGTCCCAGCAATTCCACCAGCTGCAGCACCTCTCTGCCCCACGCGCCAGACGTCAAGTCGCCCTTCTTTTCGGCGAGCGAGGCGGCTATGAAGACCTTCTCGTTGTAGGGGTTCGCGCGCCCAGTGTCGGTCGCTCGCTTGCGTAGCTCGTCGTAGTGCGGAGGCCTGACTGTGTAACTCGGGAAGAAGATGCCGGCAACTAGCACTAGGACGATCAAGAGGTACGGTACGGAGAATAACGTCCAGTACAGGATGCGTAGAATGGAGCGCTTTCGGCGGCGCGGGGTGACGTAGTGGGCGTATACGGCGCGATCCGAGAGCTTGTTGACTGCATTAAAGCGACTGCTCAGCCGGTTGAGCCAGGAGCGTCGTGTGTTTAAGCACTGTTCATCTTGACCGACAACAGCTTCCTCGCCATCAACATCGAGGGATTCGCGCGGAACCAGCTCATACTCGTGTATGGGCCGGCGGGAGGGTTTAAGCATCGGAGGGTCTTGGGGGGTCGAAAGGGGCCTAGTTAACTCAGGTCCGCGGGCGCCATCAAGCGATGATCGGGCGGCAGGGCTGCAGTGGAGGCGTTTTGTAGCGTTGACTACAACCACAGCGGAAGTGAGTGTTTGTATATCGGAATGGGAAGCGGCGGGAAGTAGTGAGTGACAGCAGTCGTGCACAACGCAGCGAGGTTCCGCTTCTTGGGGACGCGCAATTCACACGGACTCGCGACTGTTTGGTTGGGGTCACCCATCGCACAGGGTCCAGCTCCCTGACGACAGCCCTGGAGTGGAGCAGCGCGAACGTGCCTCGTCTTGCCTTGCCTTTTCCAGCCGCCAGCACCAACTCTAATCACGACTCAGGCCTGGATAGCCGTTTCGAGCGCCCGACCCTCGCTGGTCTGACCAGAGGCTAACCCTCCGCGCTGCGAACTGCCCACATCACAGTCGCACCACGCCCCCAGAGCAGAGCATGTCGCGAACCCTCTCACTGGCAACCCTCCTCGGCCACCGACACTGCTGCATCATCATCAACATCATCAACAAACCTTAGCCCATCCTGGCGGCTGGGCCTTCTCTCGGTGATTAGTACCGTCATCAGAATCTGCACATGGGTGGCTTGGCCAGATGCTCGGCCTCTTGGTCTTCGGTCATTTGGACCATGGGACGTCGATGCCACAAGCGAAGATCCATCTCCCGGAATCGCGCGGAGCTTTCCGTCGTACGACGCTTGCAGCAGGCGCGTACCTGGCAGCGTATCGATATACGAACGCGTGTATACATTTGCACTGCCTTACACTACTCCACAGACCTCAAACAACTGGCGCATGCCGTTGCGCAGACGCGTTGTGCCTCACAACCCATACTACCGTGATTGCTAAAGCTTACACAGCATACTCGTCACATCGCTTGATGCCCGTGTCTTACGACGTACGTGATGATATCTGATCCCACTATTGGTCGTCCCCTCATGCAGAAGAGCATCTGCCACGCTAGCGATGCAGCAACCCTGGCTTTGATCCTCCACGCTCGCAACACTATCCCCAGTCCCATCCCACCACTACTCACCTTTGTCCAGACTCGACACGGCTGACCTAGGCGAGCTGAGTAGGCTTCGTAATTGCGAAATAGGAGACAGTGGCGCAGACGCAGGACTAGCCTTCGGACGACCAACACTGCCGGAAGCCGACGGTATCTTTGGTGCATTCAGCTGCCCCTCGGATGATGGAGTACATGGTTCCTCAACTACCGGCACCGTCATGGGGGAGTAGCGGGGTACGTCTTGTGTTGTTGGCGAACGTTCCTGATGTGGTTTCTGCTCGGACGGTCGATCGTTCCATCCGCCGAGCTTCGGTTCGTCGTCTCGGGCGCTAGCTACGACCCGTTCCCTTTCTTTCTTCGGACATGTGTCGTCGTTTAGCTTCGTATTGGTCTCTTTCGCTTCATGTCCTTTTTCTCGCGGCTCGTCCTGCCTTCGTCCCTGGTTCCTCGGGCTCGTCGTCCGCTGTCTCCACCGCTCGTACGTCCGAGACCGAGGTACGCTAGAGCCTATTACAATAATTGTCAGCATACACTCCGTGGCACAAACGAGACTTCAATCTGCAAACGAGCTGCGGGATCAGGGTAGCATTACTCGGTGCGGGGCGCATTCTGCTCGTGTGCAAACCCCATGGCCTCGCTGTATACCCGCTCATCGGCGTGAAAGGGGCGTACCTGGCTTGATTATCTAGTCCATCCGCCCCCGTTGTTTCGCGCATCCATTGCCGAGGATACGATCGAGGCGTATTCCACGCTCTCGTCGTTGAGTAGGGGTGTGGTGGGTACTCGAAGGGCAACGTATCTGCGAACCCAGGCGTTGCTCGCGGTATTGACTCTCTTGGGACTTCTTGCGTGGCGCCAGACGGGTCGCTAGAGCATGACGACGATGATGACGACGATGGAGGCGCTGCTTTCTTAGGTGCCGCTTCCTTGAGCGCTTCCAGCACGATGGGTGGGTATTCATCGCAAATGTGGATGAAGTCGACTTTCTCGTGTCGATGTGCGCGTTTAGCCGGGGATTTTGGCTTTACTGGAGGAGTCCTGCGGTGGTTGGTCTTTGGCACATCCGTACTCATCGTCTCTGCGTAGGGTTGTCGATATGGATACCGATCTCGAGGCTGGTACTGAGGCGGATACTGGATCGGCTCCGGCATCGTAGCGGCCGTCTGCTGGAACGGCTGTTGCGGCACTCTTGTCGGCATCGCATAAGATGGCATCTGAGCCGCCACTTGGTTTTGCCATGGCACTGGCATCCGTTGCGTTATACCCGGATGGTGGCACACATAATTCGCGCCGGACCAGTCTTCATGCAAATCGCCTGGAGGATATAATGACTGTCCGTACGGTTGCTGTTGTTGTGGCCCACCAATCTGCATCACTGGCCTAGCTCTCTCTCCATCTCTCTGTCCCGCCCAATTCCCATTACTATTCCCATAGCCCACTCTCTGACTCTCCACGTCCCTTCCTTCATAATACTTCCTCGTCTGCGATCTCTCACTCCTTCCTCTCTCCCTCTCTCTCTTTGCAGACCTTGACCGGTGTTTCGACGGCTCTCGGTATCTCTCCAACTCCCGCTGCTCCACTTTCTCAACATAGATAACTGGCGGCGGTCTCGTTCGATTGGGAAACAGGAAATGAAACCAATGTTCGAGTTCGTAGCAGCGCTGGTGGATGTAGCAGTGAACGTACCAGAGACCAAGATAAACGAGTGCTGTGCCGAAGATACCGGCGAAAACGAGGGCGATTATGAGGTTAGTCGTTGCCATGGTTTGGCCGTACGCATCAGTCCCCTCGATGAAAGATGAGGCAAGAGGGAAAGCAAAGGAGAAAATGGAATTTCAAGCAGGAGAAAAGACAGCCTAACACAGGAAACGCAGAGTAAAATGGACATAGGCACATGTTTGCATTCACTCATGATGCTGAGCGTAGTCGCACAGACTAATTCATAGTAAGTTTGTCGAAACTTAATACCACTAACGATGCAGCAAACATCCAGGATGTCGTGCAACCAAGCATCCTACCCATCAATCATGCCAGCACAGTAGTCATACGCTCCTGGAGAATCCCTCGGCCCTCTAGCTCTGTAAGCTCGTGTCGTCTCATAGTTTGTCCCGCAACGCTTGTAGACTTGTCTAGCTGCAAAAGGGGAGTGTCCCATGCACGTTCATATCGGAGGTGTAGTACGTGCAATGCGTGCAAGAGGGACAAACGTGTATGACGGTAATAGGCGCTTGTGCGAGCGTGGTATGTTGTACGGAGGAGGTGAGGGAGGGGGTTGAGTAAGTGGTTTGTGTTGGGGTGGGTTGAAAGTTGTTGAGTGGAATGATGGCTGTGTTTGTGGTTAGTATATTTCTTGGTATCTCCGTAGTGATCGTTGACATACCTGATGTTGCCCAGATTGACTCTACCAGTTTCCTTTGACGTCGTTGCCACCACCTGCGTCCCATGCTGCTCCTCCTCCGCTCGTGTCCCATCCTCCTGCTGCTGCTGCCTCTTCTCCACCTGCTCCAGTGTCGTCCCAAGCAGCAGCGCCTCCATTTCCACCGCTATTACTCTTCGCTCCTCCGCTCTTCGCCTTACTCCCTCCAGCATCTCCAATCCCACCCCCATCCTTACTTCCTCCACCTCCACCTCCACTTTTGCTCTTCGCGTTACCGCTCTTCCCCCCTCCACTTCCTCCGTTACCATTTCCTCCCCCACCCGCACTCTCCCCCGCCCTTATCTCCCCACCTCCACTCTTACTCTTACTCTTCCCTCCCACGCTCTTACCACCACCTCCTCCTACTCTTATCCCAGCCTCAGCATCCCTCTGGTACCCTAGTTCGTGAACTTCCAGATCGATAGCCCGCCGACAGCTCTTCATGAGGTAGTAGCCGAAGAGACAGCAGAAGAAGGTGATGAGGACGAGGGTAAGGATTATGGCGTGGACGTAGTACATCGTGTAGAGGTGCGTGGGTGCGTGAGTGCGTGAATAGTGTTGGGGTATGGGTGCAAGGGTTGATGAGTGAGTGAGTGGATGAGTGAGTGTGACGTCGGTGTGTAGTCTTCGTATGAAAGAACAATGTAGGCGGATGGATCTGATAGCAGCGTCGATGTCGAAAGCGCAGTGGTAAATCGAGTGTCAGCGTGTTCCAATCTCGCGTTGGTATCGGGGGCCCACGGGCGACTTTGCAAAGCGCGAGACGTACTGCCCTTACTGTGCGGTCCAAGGCATGGCGCGTAGGTCAAAGTAGCGCGAGTATGAGACTCTCGTGTGGAAGCGCAGTAATGGCGGTTTAGTGTATAACTGCGATGTTGCGATATCGCGATCTAGAGAGAAATCCATCTTCACCTTCACTTTCACTTTGCTAGAAGGGATTAAAGCACATACAGTCATGTCCAACGACGTATTTCGAAACATTCCTCCAGAAGAGGAAAGTGGATTAATAGTATGGATATTGTCTAATCATCATGTATGTTATTACACAGGAACATAGTTCACTGCCCCATCATTCACTCCACCGCAGCAGCAGTCCCCGCCTCAACAGGCTTAGGATTCGCTTTCTCGCCCCCACTCGGCGTAGCAAGAGTAATACTGTCTTTTACTTCTACCTCCTTCTCCCCGTCCTTCTCCGCTTCCTCACCCTTCACCTCCTCCTGCACCGGCGCCTGCACCTTCGCAGCCGGCGTAGGTGTTGGCGGCGGCGGCGGCGCGACAACCTTCCTACTCGGACTACTCATCTCCCAAAACCGTCTCGGCACGTTCTTCGCCGGCGGCATACCCAGGAAGCCCTTTCCACCCATACTCTCCAGGGGTTTGGCTCTGCCTCCCACATAACATCCCAAATCGCCGCTCCAGACGAAACCGCCTCCTACCACACCTCTCAATACGCCGAAAGCGCGGGCGTCGCGGTAGGCGATACCTGTTTCCGGGTCGCGGTATCGGGCTATGGTGTTGGTGATAGGACACAGCTTTTGGCCTGGTTTGAGGACGATCTCGGGCTCGGCTTTGGGCGCAGCGTTCTTCCGAGGTGGTTTTGGCGGCGCGATGAGGGTTTGTTGGATGTAGTTTGCTGCTTCCGCTGAGGTCCAGTTGAAGAGTGCTGTGTACAGCTGTATCAGAGCTGACTTGTCCTTTTCTTTGAGGAGCGAGGCTGCTGTCCTGGCTCGTGAGGAGGATGTTGGTGGGGCTTCTAGGTTGGGGAAGTTGGAGAGGATGAGGAGGTTGCGGAGAGCTCGACGTATGACTTTGCGTCGCGGTGGCTGAGGGGGTAAGGTGGGTTTTTGGAACTGTGCGAGGAGGGCTTGGGGGCCGATTGCTGAGTCGCCGTTTTGCTGGGGTAGAGAGGGATGTAATTGGTTGTAGAGAGCTGTTTGTGCGTCTGAAGGTTGATTTTGGAAGGAGGAGGTTTCTGTAAAGGGGAACGGAGGAAGTTCGTTGCCATGCATGGGCTGAGATTGCTGGTCTTGGGCGTATTGGTCGATACCATAGAGGAAGGAGTCTTGGCTTGGTGGTGCGAACATGACAGTGCTCGGATGTTGCATGCCGAACGAGCCCATGAACACGTCGCCGCCTTGTGATGCTGCTGCTGTCCATGGTTGTTGTGAGTTATCTTGTTGTGGGGGCATGGTTGCGGGTATTGGCGACATGTGTGTTGAGCTACTGAACTGATCAAGAGACGGAAAAGAAGGCTGTGAATTATCTGCATGGTTATCCGGAGCTTGTACCGGTAGCTGTGTGGACTCTGGCTGAGTTACCGTCTCCGCAACTGTGACCTCTTTGTTGAGCTTTTCCTCGAGATGCTCCAGACTCGGTGCGTCCTTGCCTGTGTACTTGAGCTTATCATCGACCCAGATGCCCGGTCCGCTGTAGTATCGGTAGAAGGGCCCATCGATCTGTCGATTCTTGAGGGCGTCAATCTTGGCCTGCCTCTCCGCTGCCCTGGCTTCCTCTGCTTCCTCCCATCTGTGTAAGGTTTTCTTGTTGATGCGCTCATTCCGAGCAGCCTCAGCAAGCCTCTCAGCCTGCGTCAAAGGTTTCTCCTTGGACTTCATCTTCCGTGCCTCTGCAGCCTTCATCATAGCCAGGGTGTCATCGCGCCTCCGGTCCTTCTCCTTCAGCTTGGCCAGCGTGGCATCCTTGTTTGCCACTGTTTGTTTGCGCATCGACATTCGGACCGGGCCATCCTCTTCGGTGGGTAGCCATGATGCCCTTTCGGACTTCTTCTTGGGTCGCGGAGGCGCAAGCGTGGGCGACTGTGTGCGGGGGACATCGAGCTTGACCTTCTTGCGTGCTTGGGCGGCGACTCGTGCGGTGAAGGGATTCGTCGTGGCTTTGCGCTTCTTATTGCGCTCTTGTCGCTCGGCCTTGCGCAGCTCCTTCTCGCCCGCCTCGTCCTCGTCCGCATCCTCATCACCCTCTTCTGACGATGACGAATCCATGTTGTAGTCCTCCTGCTCGTTGACATCACCGCCTTGGAACTCCTCCTCGTTTGGCGCTTCCTCCCACTCCTCGCCCCATTCCTCCTCCTCGACCGATTTGGCGAGCAGGATGGACATGCGATTGCCGGCATTGGATCGCTTGGCCCTGGACGTGACCATGAGCTCCGCAGGCGCTTCCTCCTCGCTCTCATCCTCGGATGCCTCCGACTCGTCATCGCGATGTGACGGCGGGGCATCCTCCATGGCTGCCTGGGGTGGCTCTTCGGACATGGTGAATTAGAAGTCCGGCGGCAGGCGCGAAGTAGGCGGGGAAGGTGCAGGCGAGGGGACTGGAGCCTGAGGCAAAGCGAGTCGGACGGCAGCGATCAAGGTTTGGGCGAGGCTTTCCAGAAGGATTCCATGCGACAGCGACACGGATTATGCGCTCCAGCTGTGGGGTGAACGGTTGGCAGCATGGACTGCAGGGCGGCAGATTCGTCTGAAGTGCGGTATTATGCGTATTGTTTCAAGCGGCGTGATGGCAGCATGTCGTGAATTCAGAGCACGCGCCAGCATGACGCGACGGGCCATGGAAAGTCGCCAAGTCAGCAGTAAGGCTTGGCGCGGCCCGTCTGCATCTGAAACTTAGTGCGCCTATGATAGAATCAGATAGATAAACGTCGTTCCAAGGTACCGCACCATCGGCTGTCAACGCCTCACTAAAGCTCTTTGGGTCTGCGTGGCCTGTCAGCCTGTCTACTTCAGGACGTGCAGCACAAGGCATATCCGCCGTGGTCTGACATATATGTTTTCCAGAAGGGTCGTTTCGACTGTGTGGATGGTGCGTCGATGCATTGCAGGGTCGTAGTCTGTAGTCTTGATTGCGTGCCACATTGTATGCTAGATGATAGCAGAGACTCAGTAATGGCGTACGCATCGGGCTCAGAAAGTCTAATAGGCCGTTGGTATGCATGCAGGACCCCAACGCACCTCCATCCATGTTTAGCAGCAGCAGGCCAATCACGTCTCATGGCCGGGCAGAGGCACACAGTGTCCACGTCAGATTCTGGAGTAACGGACTTTCTCGACGCGCCTCTGTGTTTCAGACGCTGGCGGGCATGCGCTGCTCTGTCCCGCGGCCACCCACTAAGGACACAATTGCAGGACGCAGCCCTGGAGCCACCCGGGCGCCCTTTGTGTGCCCCTGAATTGTACAAAAGCAAAGCACCGCAGCCGTGCCATCGCAACCCTCACTCGCCGTTGCACTTAACAGCCCACCTACAACCGTAGCCGACCGCGCAGATCGTGCCGTAACCTGTAACGTGCTTGTTCTGGCAGCCCGCCCAATTGAGCTAGTTCCCTCGTGTTCCTGGTGGCTCCCCATTTCTATCAAGCGAACCTCACCATTCATTCCCTCGCAAGCATCGCTCCATCGCTCATCGCTCTCTTGCTCCCGCCTGCGACAACTAGCTGTATCCGCCTCCGCACGAGCTCGCATGCATAATCGGCCCTCGTCCGCTTAATCCTATTACTTCTGTTCTCCAGGCACTCCGGTGATCTGTCTATTCCGCCCGCCTGCTGCTGTACAGCACCCGTACCATAATCGACACCCGCCCAGTCTCCGTCACTCCTTCGCGGCCTCCCTCGCCGTCGAGCTGCACCACCGCCCCCGGACTGGATCCAACCCGTGTTGTCGTCTTCACTGTACACCAGGCTGCGCTGTGCTGAGCCCGATCTTGCTGGCAATAATCCCTCGCCTCACATTCCTTTGGCCGGCACCAACCCTCCTTCGATCCCTTACCCTGGCTTTGGTAACCGAGTCACGACGACTATTCTTCCCTATTAGACTACCCAGGTCACCGCAGGGTCTGTAATCCATAATGGCTCCCACCACCAACCGCCCCGAACACCACATCAACCTCAACTACATCCCCCAGCTGCCCCAGCCGCCGCACTCGGGCTCCTCGACGGGCAACACCTCGCCCGTTGAGCCTCCCAACAGCGGCTCTCTGCGCTTCGCTGGCAATGCCCCGAACCCGCTCGGCAACGCGAGGCTCGGCAACGGGTCCCCGTCGCATGAGTATGGCAGCCGCCTATTTTCCAAACGGTATGTCGCACCCTGAAACAAGTTCCGACTCGTGCTAACACCCTGACAGTGCACGCGAGATTCAGGCACAGGAGGGCTTAACTCCGCAAATGTGGGGACCTCCTACCAGCGGGAATTCCACGCCGCTGCGCGAGACCATCCCGGAGTCCCCCAACAGCGAGAACTTGAGCTTCCCCGACTTCAACAACGCCGTGCCAGACACCATGTCAGCTGCACCCGCTCCCAACCGCCGCGCCCGCGCTGGCACCCTGCCCTCCCGCTTCTCCCCCTCCGCTGCCCCTCCTGGCCTCATGTCCGGCTCCTCGCTGCTTCCCAAGAGCTCCCGACCAACGCCCTCGACGAGCCCCTTCAAGCCAGGGCCAGGCACACCAACCGACAACTCGAGCTTCAACGCGCTTGGGTCTACAAACGCTGCGGCCAAGTCTGCACTGCTCTCACGTCTGCGTGCTGGCTCAATGCCTCAGCGACCGGGTGGCTACCTCCCTCCCTCCAACTCGCCGTTCGGCAACTCCATCTTCTCGGGCGGCTGGTCAAACCAGCGTGACCGCAGCAGCACACTCCAGAGCATTGCCTCGGTGCCCTCAAACGGACAAGGCTCGCCAAGGTCTTCCTTCTCCCGCGACTCGCTCGCCGACACCGATGTCAAGACCCTGGACTACCTTGGTCTAGTCGACACCCCGCAGCCTGCACGAGCTACCCTGGCTCCGTCCGACATCGAGCTCCTCCTCGAGAGCCAGAGGAACGCCAACAACCAGAACTCTGGTGGTGCAAACCGCTTCCGTTCCTACTCTGTCAACGCCAAGGAGAAGTACGCCGAAGAGGAGGAGGATCAATATGGCGCATACAGCGGCACCATCACTCCTGCCGAAGCCAACGCACTTCTCATTCACGAAGCTGTTCGCCAACACAACCTCGAAGTTCAGGCCTTTGCGAACCTCGCCTCAAACGCGCGCCCACGTGCTCGCACCGCCGGCGTGTTAGATGCTCCTTCGCGGGGCATGATGCGGCCCTACTTGCCCGCCATGGGCCGGTTTGACAACGGCATGGGAACCGGTGACTTGACTGAGGATGCAGAGTACAATCTCACTGAGGCTGTCAAGAAGCTACACTTGCCCGGCTCCAACCTCGGCGACGATGGAACTCTGGAAGGACCCACTCGATCGCTGTGGCTCGGCAACATTCCATCTTCGACCACCGTTTCGTCGCTCCAGGTTATCTTCGCTCAGTACGGTGGGATTGAGTCTACCCGTGTTCTCACACACAAGAACTGCGGTTTCGTCAACTACGAGAATCTTGAGAGTGCCGTCCAAGCAAAGTCAACTTTGAACGGAAAGGAGATCTTCCCTGGTGCTGGCCCCGTCCGCATTGGTTACGCTAAGATTCCAAGCGCAGCAGCTACGCCTGGCCACAATGGTCTGTTCCCTTCACCGAGTCCTGACCCGTTGTCAAAGGCTCAGGCTGAGGGCACAGCTGGCTCTGCCGCCGCTACCAAGGTGGCCAACATTCCCGCGAATGTGCCTTTGACCACCCCAGAGCTCAGCGACATCCGTACCGACATTATCCAGATTGTGAAGGAGTTGGGCGCCACGGACGACGAGCAGACAAGGATCACCACCAAGGTCGAGAAGGCTGTCCAGTTCAACAACTACGTCGACGAGATCCCATCTGTCGAAGAGCCGAGCCACACCCGCATTCACGACGCCCCCAGACTGCGAGAGATCCGCAAGCGCATCGACAACGGATCCTGCTCCAAGGAGGACATTGAGAACATTGCTATGGCCATGCTCCCAGAAATCGCTGAACTGTCTTCTGACTACCTTGGAAACACTGTCGTGCAGAAGCTGTTCGAGTTCTGCGAGGAGCCTACCAAAGAAGCCATGCTTCGCGAGATTGCACCCCACCTAGCCAAGATTGGTGTGCATAAGAACGGAACATGGGCTGCGCAGAAGATCATCGATGTGTCCAAGTCCGAGACTATGCAGAAGATGGTCGTAGATGCTGTCCAACCTTATGCTATGGCTCTCTTCCTCGATCAGTTCGGCAACTACGTCATGCAAGGCTGCCTCAAGTACCAGAAGTTCAACGATTTCATCTTTGAGGTCATGCTGGGCAGACTCTGGGATCTCGCCCAAGGTCGATTCGGTGCCCGTGCCATGCGAGCTTGCTTGGAGAGCCACTATGCCACCAAGGACCAGCAGCGCATGGTAGCTGCTGCAATCGCTCTTCACAGCGTGCAGCTCGCAACCAACGCGAATGGTGCCTTGCTCCTGACCTGGTTCCTCGACACCTGCACCTTCCCAAGGAGGCGTACGGTCTTGGCTCCCCGCCTAGTCCCGCACATTGTCCACCTCTGCACACACAAGGTTGCATACCTCACAGTCTTGAAGATAATCAACCAGCGCAACGAGCCAGAAGCTCGTGACACCATCCTTCAGGCACTGTTCTTCTCTCCCAACGACCAGGTATTGGAAAGCATCTTGGCCGACCAGAACTGCGGTGCCACCTTGATCTTCAAGGTACTCACCACTCCCTTCTTCGATGAGCAGATCCGTGCGGATGTAGTAACAAACGTTCGCAACGTTCTTCTTCGCATCAAGGCGCAGCCCCAACAGGGCTACAAGCGACTCATGGATGAGGTAGGTCTTTCCACTCGTGGCGGACCTGGTCATCGTGAGCACTCCGCAACCCGCCCAGCGTCCAAGGACAGCATTGCGTCTGGACCGCCAAACCCTGGGCAATTCTATCAGGGAGCGGCAGCTGGCTTCGACCCTGTCGCACTCCAGCGCACAGCAAGCATGGACTCCAATGGCTTCGAGCAATACCCAATGGGCGGTGGACCCATGTACATGCCAAACATGCAGGCCATGAACAACCAGCAGCAGATGCAGTACCAGCAGCTCCTGGCCCGACAGGGTCAGTTCTACCCTCAGATGAACGGCTTCCAAGGTCCCGTTCCAGGCATGGATGCCTACCGCAATGCGTCGCCTGTTGCAGGCCCCGGCAGCTTCAACGGATCACCGATGATGCAGCCCGCCAACCTCGCCGGTCAGGGCATGCCCGGCATGTACCCTCCCTACGGCATGTACATGCCACCCCAGCACCAGCAGGCGGCTGGAGGCAACCAGCGACGTGGCAGAGTAAGCAGAAATGCGTCCCCTGCTAACAGCGTCCGCCGTTAACGTCTCTTCAGAGATAAAAATCGCCTCGCCTGAGGGTTTAGATTCTCATCTCCTCTTAGAATTTACTGTGTTGCCAGGAAAAGCAGCACTATCTTCCTGTATATGATTCGGATCTTCACCTACAACGCATCTGCTAGCGAGCATTTTTTGCAAAGCGGCATAACACCATACTTGCCATGTCTTCTCCTTTCCTGTCTTCGGACTCTTACGATTTTCATATCTTTTCTTCACTCAATCGGCACATGGGCTATCTGTCGGCCGACGATCGTCCTGTCTCGTCACTCGCTTAACCACCTTGCTTGGGTGTTTCGGGGCGTACTCTTTTGGAGCTTGTATGTCGTTTCGAAATGAAGAGGAGCCTACCTTTGTGGGCTCTTGTCGATCGATCGGATGATCACTGTATCGATATGAATGCGCATATGAGAGTCTGGTTGGAATGATATATGCGACTGGTGACGCCGCAAAAGTACCGTTACAATGGCATGATGTTTTGGATTTGGGAATCTTTGGACACCGATCTTCTGTCTTCGTGGACTGCATGGTGGATGGAAGTGCGGGACCGGGCTCGAGCCTGCGAGCTAGATAGAATCGAGGCCTCTTTCAGTCTATCATCGCATCGCCGTCTTTGTGTTATGACAGTCAATGTGTGTCGTCTTGTACCACCCAAAGAGTGAGTCAATCAACGGTATCATGACTCTTGCTCGTGCACGTACAACATCCTGAGCAAGGAACGCATAGGACTATACTGCTGGCTCATGCTTTATCGTGACATCGTTACAGTCACTTGGTAGTATTTAATCACATACATGCATAAATATTTCCTCTACATCTTCAGGACATTCTATCCCACTACTACAAGTTACTCAGACCTCCAATGGATCCTCCCGAAAGCAACAAGAATCTGCCTGCTGCAGAAACGCAGGAAGTTGCAGAAATGCAGAAAGTTGCAGAAATGCAGAAAGTTGCAAAAACACAGAAAGCCTGGCCTCTACAACATTACTGGGAGGGGGAAATAACAACTGGCTATACAAACTCCGAGAAACTGAGAAAGCTCCACCAAAAGCTTTTCCCGGAGTTCTACAAAGATGAGAACAAACGCGGGGACGATCACCAGTGGGACCCCATTGAGATTAAAGGTGAACGTATGCTGTACTCGTACCAACGTCGCGATGGGGCGGCTCGGGATCTCAAGAAAGAATTCCCTGAGTTTGAATGGCCTGAGGGAGACGTGTGGGGGTCTGGCAGGCGTGAGTTTGTTCAGGAAGAACTGCTTCGGACAGGTGTGCTAAGCTTATTTGCAGTCCTTAAAGAGATGAGAAAAGCGCACCGGTCATCCAAAGACGAAGCAGCAGATGCAGTATCGAAAGCGAAGGAAGATAGTGACGGAAAGGGAGAGGAGATGGAGAAGCTGAAGGGTGACGCTCAGCCTAGTCCTCAGCGATGAATCTGATTGTGTCTATGGTGTCAGTTCTCGACCTTTGACTCAACGTCGACTCAGCGGAGAACTTAAGAGTCAGTGTACTTACTTAAGATCTTGGTGTATCGAAGGGTATCCTGGGACATCATCAACCCTTCACACACAGCTTCACTGCGCCCTAATAGTTTAGCAGAGAACATGTCTATACCGGCCAAGTCGAAGGTCTACTTGGTAACATACCCCGCAACGCTCTCCAAAGAAGGCACCATTCCTGTCGAAGAGAAGATCGAGGCTCTCACAAACTATCCATATGCCCTGAAATTAGTCGGCCTTGAGGAGGATGGTCTGGATAAAGATGGTAAAGAGGTCCCAGGATGGAGCATCAAATACATTGGCATCATGACCGCAGAGGAGGCTCGCCAAAAGTACAGTGTCGACGATGGTGAGCCCGTAGAAATTGAAGAGGGCGGCGAATGGCAATGTTACGAAAAGGGTCAATGGGCCACTCCTGGACGTACGTCAAGTTACTCAGAACCAAACAGAAGTTCAACAACTAATGTAGAAACTAGTTCTGGCAAGGATCAGGCTTACCAGGGTTTACAAGATCCCATATCGTATTAGCGGGCATAGCCCTTTCATCGACGGCCATACTAATGAGTACCATATTGCCGAAGTCTTCCACGAACCGGTGTTGTGTCCGCCCCTGATGTTTGAGATAAACGAATGGCTTGTTGCCGAGAACAAGAAACAACTTCAAGAAGCCAAAGACAGTGATGAAGGATGGGTGCCTCTCCACCCGGATATCGCGAAGGGGCCCGGCGGATGGATTACCACAGGCTGTGAGTCCTCATGTAATCCACAGAATAATGCCACGCTAAACGATAATCTAGTTCAAGATGCCTACCTTCAGTTGCTAGATCAGAGGAAGAATGGCAAAGACAAGAAGGCAGTGGAAGTGGGAGGCAAAATTAAATCTCCTGGTTTCTTCCAAAGGTGGTTCGGCGGGGGGGAACTAGCCACGAGTGTAGTGACTGGGATTGCAATCTCGAGTCTAGATATATGCCAATGGAGCAACGTCTTCCAGCTCGTGCAAATAGTTGTGCGATGAAATAAAAATACCGAGATAAGCCCCATCAGCTTTACGAACTCGCTGAAGTTTCTGTGACTGTTCAACCCCTGACTTCCGATAGATTGTGTCGTTACATTGCAAGTAAGAGTCATGAAGAAGGGTGTGACATGCCTACTCATCAATACAAAGTTACTCACCGTTTAGATATCGTAGATCATTGTTATAGTCATCATCGCAGTCACCATCGTATCTGGGCAGTCACCGCGCTGACATTTTGTCTTGACTCACTTGCTGAATCATATCCATAGATAGTCACTACTCTACGCTCATACCTCATGCTGTCATTATGGCAGTCAGCGTGCGAACGCTTATATCTTGGTGTATCTGCGCTTACACTTCAACACACTCTTCACAACACCATTACTTCGACCAAATCTGTTCGTATACATCCATGGATAACTCGATACCTGACTCAGTTATTGACTTGACGATAGAGCCAGAGCTCTATCTTGTCGTCTTTCCCACGGAGTTTCCTCCAGAGGGAGAATGCGATGAACAGGACATCGACATCGGCTTCACTAATTCTCCCGCTATAGGGGAACTCATGGAGAGATCTACCAGAGACCCCAACCTACCAAAATGGGAATTTGTGGACCTGAGTCACCCGAGCAAAATCGCCAAGGAGCGGATATTGATGAAGCATAATATCAAAAAAGAAGACTGCGTGAAGGTGAAGGGGTGGGATAAAGAAGACTACGGCTTGTGGATCACTCCTGGACGTACGTACAATTCTGAAGTATTATACGGCAGTAAACGTGCTGACACGGTAAATAGTACTCTCCGCACTGGAACTAGCCAAAGTATACAACATACAATACGAATGGAATTCCAGCGAAAAATGCTTTGCAAAGACTGGCTACACAAACAAGCACGCTATTGCGGGCAAGGTTAAAGCTGCCGAGCGCCTGGGTTGGAGGTGGAAAATAAATGTGACGGTTATCCTAGTGAAGAACGAGGAAGAGCTTACGAAGCTGCGGGATGAGGATGGGGGACCTAAGCGAATTGCGTTATGGGAATGCGAGGGTGAGGGGGTCGAAGGTTGGATTACAGATGGCTGTAAGTTCTATCTGCAACGTTGCAAAGAGTGGCATGAATCGATGCTAAGCATTGATACAGTAAATCGTTCACGCAAGGCATGTCTTGAGCATGAGAGAAAGCGCCGGGAAGAACTGGAATCCTTGCGCCTTAATCCTCCAATGTTTCCATTGCGATAAGTGAAGGTACAGCTCGAGCCCCAGGTTTTGCCGATGGGCTTGTGGTTTCTAGTTTATGTCTCCGGCTTTACGATTCCAAATGGCATTTTATCTGGTTCTTTCCGCTATGTATATCATAGACATATCTCATCATGCTTTAACCCCTGGCTCAGATGTGATTCACTGCAGTTAACAGTCACAGTTCAAAATACCACGACTCGCTATTTGACGCACCATGTTGATATAGCGATTCTAAGAGTCATTTGGCATGTGTCAGACTACGTTGTGTTCAACAGTAACTCACATCATCGAATCTGAGATCTCTACGCAACACTTCACTGCATCACACTGCACCATATTACATCAATTAGATCGCCAACACCTATAACGACGATGCCGCGAATCTGCTCGATATACTTTCCCCAAAACCTCCCCAAACCAGGCGTCCTCCCTAGCAATGATAACATTGATGGCATAACAAACCACGCATTCCTGAGAACACTTATCGACGAGCTCATCGAAACGCCAGGCTTCCAGGGATGGGAAGCCGAAGACCTACGTAAAGTCACGAGAAAAGCGCTTAAAAGGAAGAAAGAGGAATACGAAGACGAAGGCCTAGTAGAGATCCTTGGCGAAGAGTGGAAGGCTGATAATAATGGTCGGTGGGCTACTCCTGGATGTGTGTAAAGTGACGCAAACCCAGAATGCGCCTAGTCTATTAACGTGTCTAGTGATGAAAGTACTCCGTAGCTGCAGATACTACGAAATAACTTATCGTTTCCGGCCTCGCACTGGCTCACCAGACGTCTACAAGACGGGCTACACGAACAGCTACTCCATCGCTAAGGGAATTGAGCGCATTTTGAAGTTGCCAGGGCGGCCGTATTCGCGATTCGACAAATGCGACGTAAAGCTAGTTGCTAGCGAGAAGGATTTCAAGAGATACCAAGACAGTGATGGTAGGTGTGAGCGCCTCTTCAAGGAGGGGGTAGATGGGGAGATAATTGACGACGGATGGATCACGAAAGGCTGTAAGTTGATCTTGGGTTGGTGAAGAGCGTGCCGCAGAAGTTATGCTAAACAACAGTCTAGTGTTTGCCGTGTGTCAAGTGGCTGCGGAATTAATTCCCAAAAAGAAGCGGAGGCGCAGGAAGGCCCACAAGGTCCGACGTGAACACTATTCCACTAAGGCCTAGTGTAGAAATCGATGGACTCAGTCATGTCGATTAAGATCGTACCCAAGTAATTGAGACTACTTCCCCTTTGACTGACTTATCTAATCACGGTGAACTGTCACCACGTACAGCTATGACCAGCCTTTCGTTGTCACAGGTATACTCACCATTATAAGGTCAGCATTCACCATCGCAGTCATCAGCGCAATGGTCATCACAGTCACAGCGCAGGCGTGTATGTCCTGGTACGTTTAGTACCTCGAACACTTCCTAACACTGCACTACAACGAACAACTCTGCTGACTATTCGTATAAAATCTCAAACCGAAACCCTCCTCCACCTCATCAACGATGTCGGAATTCTACACGATAGTCTGCTTCACGAAGAGCAATGCGTCCCTTGAATACGAGTACACGGACTCTTCCTACCTTTTGAGCCGTGTACCCGATCTAGCAAAGACTCTAGCCGGCGCAATCTTGAGAGTTCATAAGGGCGGCGATGTATATAAGCAGGAGTATGGGGTATCCCAGCTTCCTGACGGAAGAGCTGTAGTTGTCGACGAAAGATGGGGTTTAACCAAAAAGCGGTTGGTCACCCCTGGATGTGAGTACCACTCTGCAAAGCTATACAAGGCTCAGTGAACTCACGTTTTGCGAAGTAATGTCAAAGCTGAATGAAGCCTGGCTATTACTGGACATGCAAAAGGTCCACAAGATCACCTATTGTGACAGTATGGGAAGCACAAAATCCAAGACTGGCTATACAAACAGCCCGCAACTCATGAGGATCATCAGACTCATCATCGCGCAGCTGCCCTCGGAGTCATGGGCTTGTGAGCCTGTTTTCCCCAAGAACGAGAAAGAATTGAAGGCACTTCAAGATAGTGATGGTGAGGAGTGCAGTCGCTGGAATAGAAGTGAGGGAGAGAAAGGTCACGACGACGAGGAAGAAGGCGGAGATGATGGATGGTGCACGAAAGGACGTGAGTATCTCTTTGAGTATCCAGAGGAGTGTGAGAGATGCTGACAGGATCTCTAGTGCGGCTTGCATACGAAACATTTGCACTCGAAGCGCTCAAGGCCTTGGACGAAAAGGAACAGAGAAAAGAAAAGAAGGTAGGAGCGTCGGGAGCGGCGGGAGAGTCTTAGACATACTTGCGTACAACGAATCTGGATCAGAGCTTTTTGAAGGTATTCAATACACATGAACGAATTCACTGGTTGCTCATCGATATTCACCCTTTGCCCCAGGTTTACTCGTCGTGTGGTTACTATGACTGTCCATGGAGTCATAGCAACATAACTTTGGATGACTGTAACCAACGTGTGTCTATGCATTTACTTAGATGTGAACACCACTGCAAAATGATACCCAAACATCTACTAATCGTAACCCGACAAGCGATCTTCACCTCTTCTATTCACCCCGGTACGCGAAACCCCCAGAGAAACTTCCCATCCACCCATCAAAAGATGGCAGCCACCACCTCAGCGATTTTCCAAGTCATACACCTCCTCGGCATAGACTTTACATCCTCATCCTCAGTCGCCCAAAGCATTGGCAAAGCGAAAAAAGTACAACTGGCTCATCATACGATACGAATATCCCAACGACGAAGAGGGCAAGACGTTCATCAAATATCTGACAGCAAATCGAGGCAATAATTCCCAAAAGGTTCTGAAGGACTGGCAAAAGAGATTGCTACAATCGGAAGTGGCAAGGGGCGCTGGAGTGCACTGGGGTAGGGAGCGGATGACCCGTAACTGTACGTATATCCAGTTGGCTCAACAATGTACATAGATTGCTAATGGAAAGGACAGTGTATATGATCTTCAAAGAGGCTAGGGAGGGTAAGGAGGGCAGCGATGAGTCTTTGAAGCATATGCTGGATGTGTTTATGGGGAAGAGATGATAAGGATGGGGCTCATTGCACATACCTACGGGGAAACGGAGCGAGGCATCATGATAACGGCTACCTTTTCAGGTAGCCTGGAGTCAGACCATCAAAGCAACACCATACTGAGAACAACAAAGCTTCAATTTTTGCCGCCCTACATAAACTGAGCGTGGGTATCATGAACTGCCTAAACGCGCCGTAACTCCCTGACGGATACAATTACATCTTAAACATTGCAAAACATTGCTGATAGCAAACCCTGGAGGTCCTCATCGCGTCGAAACCCAAACGCTCAGTGACCGTTGAGACCGTCGCTGAATTTTCGCTTTTTAGCCTCGCGTTCGCCGTCCTGCGGAGGGCGGTATTGGTCCAGCTTGCCCTGTAAACGATATGTCTCGCGTTTGATATTCTCTGCGTTGGCCAAAAGGTCCATCTCGGTGACCGGAGCTTCAATACTAGCCAGCACGCTCCTAACAGTGCTGATATGATTGGCGTCCTTCTTGTCGTCGCGCCAGCGCGGCGTACCGTCCGCCTCAGCCTTGTATTTCCACTGTCCACCTTCTGTGCGGTAACATTCTATGATACGGCCGTCGAGGCGTTGGTTCAGGGATTTGAGCGTCTCCCACTCGGCGGGGGTGACGGAGAGAGTGGCGAAGACTTCGTAGTGGTTCGAGTTGTGCTGCACGAGCAGTTGGAGGGGGGTGGGCATGGCGTCGTAGTCGGGGATGAGGCCGTCTTGGCCGTCTTGTGGGTCTATGAGCGGGAAGTCGCCGAGGCGGAGCTTGAAGTCAATGGTGTTCTCGTGTGGTGGCTTCCACTTGAGGATGTGTCTGTCGGTACCGAACTGGTAGGGTGTGGATACGCAGGTGAAGATCAGGCCGTCGTTGCCGTGTCGGAGGTTGGGGAGGATGCTGCTGAACATGTCCTCGAGCTTGTATGCAGGGTAGGTCTTCTTTCCTTTGAGTGCAAACGGCTTCAGGTCGTCTGGTGTAATGTTCTTGCCAAACGTCCTAGTCAAGCCGGCTTCGTACGGCTTAATGACCCATTCATGCAGCCGGCCCAACCGCTTGTCCAGTGTCCTTTGCGTCACATTTGTATTATCCACCGCCAAGCAATCGAAGACATAGAAGTTGAGACGTGGCGCAGGCTCGTTCGGATATTGGTCGTGGACCAGCTCGCCGTCCAGAAGGGTTCCGAATAAGAATGGCTCGGCTTCGTTCAGGTGCTGGTAGTGACGTATGCGAAATGGAGGCTGGACGTTGTAGTAGTTGTTCTTCCTGTCGATCAGGAAAGTCACAGGCTCGAAAGCTCCTGTCGGTCCCTCTTGCCAGTGCAGGTAGAGCAGGCAGCGCAAGCCGTCCGTCTTCTCGCACATGTAGTATTCATTGCGCTGGAGCTCCGTGACGTGTTCGCGCGAGAAGGATACGGGTTGCGCGCCGGGAAAGCGTGGGTTGTCGCGTTCGAGGAGTTCGGCGACAGACTGCTTGAGTGAATGCGCCTCGTCATTTGGGATCTGGAAGCCTGGAATCTGGGGCGGCGCGTGCGATGGTAGCGCGGCGGCCGGCATGTTGAGAAGATGCGGGAGGTATTCGAGGCTCCGCAAGAGTTGGGACGTCGAGCGCGATGGATTCCGTACGCGGGGGCGGTTGGAGGAGGGTTGGTCTACCTTCGCGGTCGCAACAGTAGTTGTACAAGCAATGGATCGGCCGGGCGAGCTTACGCGCTAGTGAAGGGTCTGCTTATGTAATCGCTGGCTGCGGCTGCCTAGGCACGGCTGTGGCATGGCCCATCATGCTTCTGACCTCGCTAAGATTCAGGGAAGCCTTGATGTATCCGCAGTACAGTTCCCATCATGCCGACTGTTTTTTTTTCGCATCAATTCCGTTAAACGTCATTCTGCCAGCGTACCGACTGCCCGATATAGTCTGTTGCAACCATGGTACTACGACTGCGCACAACGCCGCGCCTATAAGCCATTACCAAGCACATGACACCAACATGAAAACTGAAAACTGAAAACTCAGAGGCATAAATTCCTTTGCTCTTGCCGAGACTTCTCCCCCTCTTCAACAAAATCACCACAATTCTCACATCCAGTCACTACCAGACCCAACACTCACGATGAGCGACTTGCCCACAGAGATATGGGCCATGGTGTTCGCATATTCCGACGATACCGAACACCTCTGGCTTTCCTGCCGTCACGTCTCCAGCAATCTAAAGGCGGCCGTCGAAATATACACCAGCACCATCTTCCTCCCAAACTTCCTCACAGTATCGCTCAAATATCTGACAAAAAACCAATGCATCATACGTTGCAAACGCGGTACTTTCAAAGGATACTCCCCAGACAAAAAGGTCATTTACTTCGATATGAGCCGCGACGACCGGCCATGCATCGAGTATGTTGACACACAGAGAATGTGTCTCTCCGTCGACAGACTACAAATGGAAACGCCAGATAGGCGGTTTGGAGTGTTGGCGAACTCGAAAGGGCCAGATCACGATCGTTCATTCTTGGTCAGACTTTTGGATGGCGTTACGGCTAGCCCTGCGGATAGTAACCAAGGATGGCTCACCTTTGGGCTCGACTTGAATGATAAGATCCTGTCCTTTGACTGGCGAGAGGTCATGACGAAGAGCTTCATGGATAGTACTGATTCGGAAGGACTCCTTATCGACAACTTATTGTGGCGCGTGCGTGATCGCAGGTTTCCCTGGTGGATTTAGTGGTGGCTTTGGGCTGGCCTATCAGAGATGGACTTGAACATGTCAGGGGAGGGACAACAAAGAACCCTTGTAAACAATGCGGCGAAGAAGTCCTACGAGGGCTGTATGTCGCGATCAAGAACATTTTGGCAGTACATTAGAGGTATGGTTTGTGTTGAATCTCAGTCAAAGGGTACATGGTCTAATGGCAAAGGCGCCCACTCTTACGCAAGTGAGAGTGACGCTGGACCCAGCCGGTAACGGTTGGAACCCCAGCGGAGAGGAGATGCGGGTTCGAGTCTCGCTGTATCCACTTACATTTTACTGCTTGTATTATTTTTGTCTTCATAGTTGTCATCTCGTTCTAGAATTGTGCTTCTTGGTCGATACATAGTCCTAGCTAGTCTGAAGACTAGAGACTGCTGTACTTTAGCTATCTCGCCGAACAAAACTAAGGATGACACAGACTATTTCATGTATCCTTTTCACTAGAACACCAGGCCTCATACTTGGAGAGAGCGCCTCAGTATCCAAGCTTTCACTCGATTTGACGCCACCTCCTCGTACTATGGAAGGTCTGCGCTTTTTCCTCGAAAGGGCAGATTGCGTGTTCTAGTATAGGCTTTCAAGTTTCCGAAGAGCAACCCATGCATAACTCCACCGAAACCGCAATGTTGTTGCCAACCCTTTCTCTCTTTCTGGCACTCGTCACCACTTGTCCACCGCCTCTTAACAGCTTCAAATATGTAGCCAATGATACGCACACAACATCACAGATGATCTCAAGTCTACTCGTATCAAGAGACGAATCTTCTTCTTTGAGTCGCAGATGGACTGAGATCGTGACTATGGTATGCTCATCCCTACACTCCAACGCATGACGTCCAATTAACCGTTCAGCTAGACCGGACAACCTCGTACAGTGTGGCCCGACGGACTGGTCCGATACTGTTTCGAGGACGAGAGCGCCCGAAATAACTTCAAGGACGACATCGACGCAGCCTGGAAACTATGGGTGGACAAGATCGGTGAACCCGGTTGCCCAAGTGGTCACATACTTCAGTTCAGGGAGTACAGGGTCAAGGAAGGGGTATGGCCTTACTGCTACAACAAACGCGAAAAGGACGATGACCCCTGGGTCTGGAACAAGCACGTCAAGAATGACATTGCCGTTATCGCGGAGTCCAAAGATACCGAGACTCAAGCTTCTTCGGTCACAGGCTACATACCAAAAGACTGGAGTGACGAGCAAGGGCGACACGGCATCCATCTCGGTCTGTCATTCAAGCAAAAGTACCCGCCAGATTACTGGATCACAACCGTCGCCCACGAACTAGGCCACTTATTCGGCTTCTGGCACGAGCACCAACGCGAAGACCGCAACGACTACGTCCACTTCGACTGTTCCAAACTGCGGGGTTACGCAGCTGCGAAAGCGAAAGTTGATGCGGCGAAAGAACATACCATGGAACAAGTCTGCGCCGACTACCGTCTAGCTCTCCAATACGACTTCCCCGCTGTCCAAGACTACGATACCATTGACCATATCGCGCCTCTCCGCGAGGGTGGTATTGAGTTACCATTGTACATCAACAGTGACCTAGAGTTTGACGACGAATCTATCATGTTGTATACCTCTTCGGAATGCGCGAATGACGGAGCCAATACAGACGACGTCCTACAAGTCCCATTAGCATTCTGGAAACACCGCGGTATAGTCTTCGATCCACCAAAGCCAATCACAAAAGAAGACCTAGAAATCATCGACGTGAGATGGAAAGTAAGTGACGGAGATGCAGACGGCGTCCGCCATCTCTACCCTTATGTCGACTCGGACGAAGGAATGGAGAAGAGAAAGAGAGATCAGCCTGACCGCCGGACTTAGATAGAGTGGACATCCGAATTCAATAGCATGGTATAACTGATCTGATACCGAGGAGAAGTATTATGTATTACAAAGATATGTAAACGGCGATAAGTTCGTTCGGTCAACGAACAGGGCCGTATCCGTGAGACAGATGAAGAGCAAGATCTTGAGTGGGGTATATAGCGAACCGAATGAATCCAACCGGCCCAGTACGTCGCCGCGCAAGATCGTCCAGTCCATCGTCGTGTGCCGTTAACGCCAGAGATCCAAAGTCCATAATCCAAAAAGGCGCGTAGTCCTACATATCGTACATAATGTTACAGCATATTACAACAGGTTTGCGAGCCAACCGGGGGCTCGTGAATGGATCCAAAAAAGAACGCCTCGCTGGAAAAATGTCCCGGATCCCGCAGTAGTGGTGGTGGTGTTACATATATTACAGATGACATGTTCTCGTAAAACACATCTCAGTCGCGTCGGTCGGTGAAGTCAACGCATGCAGCTCCTCTCTTCGTCGCACATCTAGAAGAAGCCCTTGCTCTTCCCAGATCCAAGTTTGGGGCTCATGGGTCCAAAGAGCTTCATGTCGGTGTTCATTTTCTTAACAAACACCAAATATGCCTCTAGCGCCTCATCTTGCGTCTTGAAAGTCTTATCGCGATTCATCCACATCTTCAAGTATTTATCCGCACCAACATCTTTCAGCGCTGCGTACCAGCCGCCAGAAGAGCGCTGACGCAGCGAGATCGCTAGGTTCTTGCCTTTGAGACCCGTCACGTTGGATGCTTCGCGGAGACAGGCGGCGCGTAGATCGCTGTATTCGTCGTCTTCGAGGGAAGAGGAAGAGGACGTTCGCTCCATCTTTGGTCGCGACGAGGAGGTGCGAGCATCAAGCTTAGGGCGCGAGGCTTCTTTAGGTTTGGGCGCGGGTTTCGACTCGGTCTTCTTGCGTGACGGGGTGGAGGGCTTGGGTTCTGGAGCTTTCTTTGGTGGCGCGGCGGCTTTGGGTGTCGGTGGTGTCTTCGGTCGCGAACTTGACTTCTCCGATTTAGACGACTTCTCGGCCTTTTCAGATTTCGATTTTTCTGACTTTTCGTTCTTTGAAGACTTCTCTGGCTTTGACGCGGAAGGTGTGCTGGTTTTTGACGGCGCGGATGGTTTCGATGCGGTAGTTGTCTTGGAGGACTTCGACTTCGACGGCGTTGACGGTGTGGGCTTCTCTGGTGGCGATGTTCTCGCTTTGAACGAATCGAAAGGACTTGGCCATGCGCCTATGGCTTTTGGTGTTTCCTCGACCACTGGCGCATCTTTCTTTGACCTCGAAGTTTTCGCAGGCGTCTTTGGTTCTGGGGCCGCCTTAGTCGCAGCAGACGCCTTGAGTGGCGCGCCTCTCCTTCCCGTCGCGACCGGAGGCGGAGGAGCAGCATCAGGAACCGCAGCCTCTCCAAAAAGCTGCCGTGCTCTATCCTTCACACTGGGAAACATCGCGTGTTTGAATCTGGGGTGGTATAACTCGGGCCGACTATACTGCTGGTAGAATACAAAGTGCTAGACGCGCGATTACGATTAAGAGGTACTACAAATACACAATAACAGCGGGCGTCAAGACTATGCGAAATGGGAGAAGTAAACAAGATGCGTGAAGACATGGAAACATAACTGGGGACCTCGGGATGGCATACGGATTATTCTGGTGCCTAGTTGTGCAACCATGACACGCCCCCATGCCGCATCGGCCAGCATGCGAACAGGCGTTCACATCCAAATTCTGCGTAAATGAGCTAGCGGCCGCTTCTAGAACGCCTGAGAGCATCTCGGAATGCGGGTGGCAAGCGGGTCCCGCGGTTGTTGTTTTCAACGTTATCGATTGAGCATGCTGGACGCGACTCCTGCCATGCGCGCCCAACGTGACCTCAGCGATGTCTCTCGACTTGATCAGCTTGAAGGCCCATCTGACAGCTGGAAAAGAGATCGTTTCATCGTAAAATGGTGTACATTGCGATGACCGTTAGGGGCAGTAACGTTACGAGCCACAGTGGCCCCTTTTCCGGAGAACCGGGCTGTGCGGGAAATTGGAACGGGGACGAAGGACGGCGCGGCAAACACCTTCCGGATGAGAACAATGGCCACAACGCTGCGCAAATGGTGTTGGAGGAAACAGTTGCATCGTTGTCAGACGTTCGTGATGGAGATGAGATGATTTGCGATAAGGTGAGTTATCTTGGGCTGCATTGTGCATGCTGCACGTCAGTCAACGTGCAGCGAAACGGGTTCGGGATGTGGTATAGCGGGCTCCACCCCTTTAGCGCACCATATTTTGAGCCACGTCTCTCATCTCATCCCAGATACCCCATATCTGTCCTTCGCTTACCCAGCCGTTCGCGCATCCCTAGGGATGCCTTGACATCCTGCTGAACCAGTCGCTTGGGATCTCAAACTCTGGAATTCCTGTATCACAATGGTAGCTCCAAGGTTGTCTATTGTTTGTCTGTGATTATTCCAGCGCTTCCATGACACCCGGATCACTCCCAGCTCCCCGGAAACTTTACCAGTCCCAACCGTTCTGCTTTTCAGCCGTTACTATGGCGTCCCCTCCAGAATACCATTGTTATGGCCCCCCAGGTACTGGCCAACGACCCGATCAGCAGCTCCAATAGACCGAAGCGAGTAAACCGTACGTAAAACACATAAAAAGGCTAAGCATATGGCCCAACAATTTCCTGTGTTTTGGCCCAAACCTTGTCCTGGGCGCCGCTCGCCCTCAATCTCGCCAGCGGCTTCTCATTCAGCGTCGTCTCACAAGTATGCCATATCAGGAACAAGCCTCCGTCTTTCTGTCCTACCGTGTTCTTCCCTTCCTCAATACCTTCCCTCAACGGCACACCCTTCCCTCCAAAAGCCGCACTGGTGATTTGGTACACATACCTCGCACCGGCCTCCTCTTCCCTATACGTCATAAGCCTAATAACCGGATCCATGAACATCCAAGCCGCCCACGAACCCCAAGACCCTTCCTTGAACCCGCGGAACAGATTTCCCGTCCGCACACTCCCTGGAGCCGCGTGTATGAAGACGATATTCTTGTTCTCTGGTATCGCCGCGAGGCGTTCGAGTGAAAGTGTGGCCATGTTGATCATATGTATCATCGTAGTCATGCCTCCGAAGGCGCCTGGCGCTTCGAGTAGTAAATCATCTGGTTTGAAGAACCAGTCGGTTTCCATTCCGCCCGCACGCACGCTTATTACGCGTGCGCGATCCGAAGCGCGGAGGAGGGGAAGGAGGTTTTGCGTAAAGCAGAATCGCGCGTAGAATTCTAGTACCTGGCTGATATCTAGGCCTTCGGATGTAGCTGGGAATGTAAGTTTTTGATGAAGCGCAGTTTGACATAATTAAGGTGGAATAGACTTACTCTCTCGTCCAAAAAATGGTACGTATCCGGTTGTCAGGAAGAGCAAATCGATGCTGGTTTCGAGCTTCTTGATTTGGTCGCATATGCGCTTTACTTCTGACAGCAGCGTGACCTGACCTTCTACCCATACGATATTCGCATTCGGATTCGTCGTATGTAGCTCTTCGATGAAAGGTTGGAACGCCACCTTGCTCTCTTTCCTTCCAACGACATAGGCTTTGAAATTTGTTCCAAGTTTCGCTACCGCTCCCAGCGTGATTTTTCCTATTCCTGAAGTCCCGCCGACAAACACTGCAATTCGGGGTGCTGTCTCTTCGTCGATTTGCGCATTACTTTCCTTGATCTTGGTAAGGTGCACCATGTTGCCGTCTGCGATGGTTGTTTGTGAGAACCGTGGATCTGGATTGCGTGGGTTGATATGGTGGATGCGCGCTGTGCAAGGGTTGAGAGTACTTGAATGCGCAGGCGCAGTTACCTAGCTGCGCCTCGTGGACGAATTGCGCACGGCAACAACGACCGGATGATTTCGAAAACCTCCGCGCAGCATTTTGTGGCAGTGACTGCATATGCGCCAAGTGTTTGTGATACCTTCCGAGGTCATTTGCGGTCGACAGCTTCGCAAAATCATTCGAGTTCGCCGCTATCTGCTGTATTTCACAACGCCTCCCAACACGAGCGCTAAGTATAATGAAAGGACGGTATGTGAAATGCTAATCTGTTTGTATAAAATATACATGTTTCCTGTCATGCTCCTATACCCATAACGCCTGTAGACTCTTGTCCATCTAAATTCACGCCTGCGCGCTGACAGGCTTGATGCCCACCTCGGTCATCTTCGTCTTCTCCACTTCCTCCACCGGGCTATCCGCCCTCTCTACAACATCAGTCAGACCCATGTACTTCAAGCTCGCCGTCCAACCTAGGTCATCGCCGAAGTAATTCTTCATGACCTCAACACCATACTTGATGCCGTTCTTCGGGTCGTATGTCAGACATTGCTTGCCAACTGCTAGACCAATGACTGCATCCCATGCTGGCAGCTCTGTTTGGGTGTATTGTTCGGTTGAAGGAGCAAGTTCTGAGTTTAGGATGGCGGAGTAGATGTTCTGTGCAGCGGCTTGACCCATGACTGTTGCGCTGCCTGCGCGCTTGATACCGGTCCAGGCGATTACATCGCCGACGCCGAAGTGCGATGATGCGTTTGGAATGTTGTCCTTGAACATCAGAGATTGGTGGACCATGATCTCCTTGTCCTCGTTCAGGCACTCAGTAGGCAGGACACCCGTGGTTGGTGTTCCCTTCTTTGTCGAGTCAATGACGAAATCGGCTGTGATTGTGTCGTTGTTTGCGAGTGTGACTGTGAACTGGCCATTCGGTTGTTCCGTGATGGATGCGCGGCTACCCAAGACCAGCTTGACGCCTTCTTCTTCGAGCAGGATCTTTGCACGCTCCTTAACGTCTGCTGGTAGTGGCTCCGAAGACAGTACTTCACTCCGTGAGTGCACGAGTGTGACGTCGATCTCAGGGTAGTAGCTCTTGATCTCAGCAGCGAATTCGACACCGACGGCACCAGCGCCGATGACTACAACTTTTCTTCCTTCGCACTTCGATGGGTCGCCACCAGTGATCTTCTCAATGAAGGCCTTTGAATCTCTTTGGTACTCTTCGAAGCTTCCGGACTTCGGCACAGCAGGGAACGGTCGCTTCAGGCCAGTGGCCATGACTAGGTAGTCATATGATTGGTGTTGCGTCTTGCCATTGCGATCGCACCACTCTGCAACCTTGGCTTCAGGGTTGATGTTCTTCACACTTCCATGCTTGAAGTGCAGATTTGGGTGCTTCAGCTCATTTAGATGGCTATACCTCTTCCACATATGGGTTGTGTACTTTGGTGTAACATGGGCGAGCGGTGCGCCAACCGAGTGGACTGCAAGACACAAGCATTAGCTAGACTTCCTCTAACGCAGGGTGACAAGGTGGGGCAGTGAAGATGCTGAGCCTCGGCTAGTGGGGTAGAGTGACGCACAATAACCATCGCGCTCATCGATGACAGTAATTTCAACCCCTCTGTTACTCCGTGCACCCTTGAAGTCAGGACCTGGGTAGACACTCTGTCGGGCCTTTCCTTGTGAGAGTTCCAGGAGGTTGACGACAGTAGAGATGCCTCCATACGCGCAGCCGACAACGAGTACGCGGTTGGGATTTGATAGGCTGAGGTTGCCCAGTGTGTCAGTAACGCCTTGGAGCCTCATTGTGAATATTTGATCTGATAAAGGAGGGGTCGTGGGGGTGTAGGAGTGTTGGCAGGGCGGGATGAGAGAAAGATGATCTGATTAGATTAGAAGTGCAGGTGGCAGAACGCCCACTTCTATATGCCGGCAGCGCACCACACATACACCACACCGACATCGGAAATCAGCTAACTATCGTCGCGCCAGTAACTAAGCTATCCGCAAGTACACGAGCGATCTACCATCGTCGCGGATATGGTGGTCGGTTTGCGATTGGTGGATGGCAGAGCATCTTATCAGATCCGAGTATTATCCGGTGCAAATTTTATCTGATGCCCCACTCCAACTGCATCTGCCCATCCTTCGTGTCTTGCCAAGGTGAGCAATCAAGGACCTGACTACGCAACGGTGTTCAATGACAGCCTGGTTTCGGCTGCAGCTACCGGAAGGTCGCGTATTTGACCACTTTTCGACTATATCTCCACATCAGGCCTCCGCTGGTGGACACACATGTGCGGAGACCAAGGCCGCCGGTGACAGTCACGGTTCACAACGTTACAATGAGTTCGTATCAACGAGGAATGAAATACGCGTCCGACCTAGACCAGGGCTTACCCTTGGCTCAGGCTGGTCATTGAATGTCACTTTAGTGCACGGTTTGAAAGCGATAGCTTTGCTGAATGAGGTCGTATCACGGATGCACGATCGTTCGCGGCACGTGCCAATTAGATCAAGTGAAGTGGAGAAAAAGTCTATATTCAATCTTCGTCTTCATCGTCAGATCTATTAACATCAAACCAAAGTAGCTCATCGCCCTCTCCCTCATTTTCCTCATCCCTAACCTCTATATCACGTATCTGTCATTCGCCCTTGAATCCATCCACAAGCACAACTGGGCCCTTATACTGCTTGCGTCCGCGGATAGCATAGTCAATACCACTCAGAACAGCCACACCAACAAACATAACAACAGCCCAGTTGAAGTACTCCAAAGGTACAGGCGTAGACTCAGGCCAGAAGCACCAGAAGAAGGCGTGGGAAGAGTAGAGAACGCCACCGATGTTGATGGGTACGCCCCATTTGCCGAGGGACCAGCGGCAGTTGGGGAGGAGTTCGGGGTGGCGGATGCGGCGGTAGAGGACGGCGCCGATGGAGAACATGTATGTTATCATGAGAGCTACGACGTTGAGGGAGATGACTGTAGTGCGTTAGCTGACATTGTACAAATGTGCGGATTGAAAGGAAGAAACATACTAGCGTTGAAAGCAGTATCCGAGCCAATGTTGATCAGACTCAGCGCAACCGTAATAAGACAGGTCACCGTCACAGCATTCGCCGGAATTTCCAACTTTGGATCGACATGGCCAATCCAGTTGCTGAAGGGAAGACCCTTGTCTCTAGCAAAAGCCCAGGTCTGGCGTGAAGTCGACAAGTTGAAAGTTAATGTGCCGGCGAAGATGAGCACCGTGGGAATGGCGTTGAGGGCTACGACACCACCAGAGTTGACGGCTTGGGCAAACACCCACATGTGCGGGTAGTCCTCAGCGAGTGCGGCGTCGACGTCGGTGATCATAAACATATAGCTGATTAGGAAGACTATTCCAAGGGAGCCGTTCATGAGGTACGCGCCGATCATGGCGCGGGGAACGGTTTTGCCGGCATCTTTGATCTCTTCGGCCATGTGGGCTGCGGAGTCGGAGCCTGTGATTGGATTTTAGCTTATGTTTTAACGATGACGCTTGGTAGAGATATAGACTTACAGATGCAAGCATAGATGGCTGACACCTGACCCACCATAAGAGCCAAGCCAGTTGAACTCCAGTTTCCGCCATTCTTGAACTGGGTGAAAGTCACTTCAGCAGTAGCCCGTGGCGACAGAACCCAGAAGACAATGATGATGGCCAAGAAACCGAATACGTGAACGACCAACATGACGTTCTGGAAAATAGGCATAGCCTTTGAGCCCCAGATATTCAGGACCCAGACCAAGAAGGTCACGGCAATGACCATGAGCGTTCCGTGCCAGCTGGTGGGCTCGTATTCTGGGTACATGACGATGACAGAGGCTTGGATTAGGGTGCCGACGAGGAAAGGTCCGGAAGCTGTACCGGCTTGCCATGATAGTGTTGACATCCAGCCGATGAAGTAGCTGAATGGCTTCTGGACGCTTGGAGGCGAAAATTCGGAGACCCAGTGGTACTGGCCACCAGCAGTCGGTGCCATCGATGCCATCTCTGCTAGCGACAGCATAACAGTGCTGAAGCCGAACCATGTCCAGACGAAACTCCAGATAAGACCTGCTGGGCCTCCATCGAGAAGGCCTTGGTATGTTGCACTACGATATTGTCAGTTCCTAGTCCACATCCATAGTACCAAGGTAACGTACGTCAAAAGCACCTCCCAAGTACCCTGCAAGATAACGGTAAACGCCAACGCAGACAACGGCCGATAATTTCTTTTCAGCTCTTGCACCTTGCCCATACGCTCCATATCCGCGCGATCAGCCCTCGTGAAACCCCTCAGAGACTGGTGATACTCCTGACTCTCATCTCCATCCAACGACCGCGACGCATTCGCCCGCGACTCCAACGTAGCCTGCTTATCCATACTGCCAAGCGGCTGAGCCTCGTAAGCAGCCATAACCAGATGCGCGCCTTAAGATATGCAGGAACGCAGCGCCTCAATAAAAATGAGACCCAAGAAACAGGAACAGTAAACGCAAACGAACAAGCGAAAACGGTGCGATGGTAAGCAAGAAGAAGGGATTGCCCACACGGACACACGAAATGGCGTGCACATGCATGCTGGCGAGATGGGCTCGTCCAGCCGCTGCGAAATGCCTTGTCTGCCGCTTCCACGAAGAAGTGGGGTGCACTAGACCCAAACCCCCTTCACATACCCGGCATCTCTTCTTCTCGAGCGGAGCCAGGGTCCAATGGTGCAGATACACTCCGGTGCACATGTCAACCAACAAGATCGTCGCGGTACACAGTGCGTGGCCCTCCGACTTGCCATGAATGGTTTGACGTCCTGTCCGCCCAGATGCCACTATCCCTGCCGCTAGCGCGACACCACGCGGCCCGCTTCCTTATATGGGGGTTTGCCGCGGCTGGGCCGTAGGCTATTGCTGCAGGAGTCGTACATTGATTACATGTAGTTGCATCTGCCGCAGGCTTGTGTAGGAAAAGATAATGCGCCGAGATGACACGCCCGTGAGAGGTGGAAACGTCTCTCTAGGGGAAGCGGAAAAATTCGTTCTGGACCTTCTCCAGCCTTACGAGGTTGAAGGGAGCCAGGGTGAACATCAGATTAGCGAATGCTGATCATGGTATGATTCGTAATTCATGGTACGATTTGTAGATTTGTAGCGTTCTGTAACCGTATTGCTGCTTCGAACGGATATTACCTAGGAAATCTCAAATCAGTCATGCTGGTAGCCGAGCTCATCAAACCCGAGGGAACGGTAAACTTTCACAAGAATTTCTTGTCCCACCGTTCAGTAAACCGCTTTCTTCGCGCTAGCTACCTGAATGTCATTTCAACGTATGGCAGCATGCGGCTGTCATTCCGCCGGGCGCCGAGCCTTGTTGGCGTCAGCCACTGTAGCACATACAAGGACGAAGAGACCCTTATGCGTTGGGAGTACTTGGTCATGGCTCGCTTAGCATCAGACGCCATCTTCAATAAGATCTCCCGTGAACCCGTGTACATGGGTCGCATTCGGTCCTGATCAATAAGCGATGAGGTGAGGGAGGACGACGTGAAGGGAGTGACATGGGCGGTATAACGTCCGCGCGAGCTCTCATTGGGCTGGCTTTGTGCAAACCACAGGCGGTATAGGTACATGTCAGACGCAGGAGCAGCGGTACAGAACCCAAAGGGTCGCCCTCTGACAACTGCCGTGGAATCTGTCTGCCTGTCATCTTATGGCCGCCACTCTGTTGTACCTTTGTTCTTCAATTTTTCCCCTGATGCTCGATGGCTGGAGAGGTGATACCTCCGCCGTACGTTATATCTGCGGATGACAAGCGCGGGCTCATTGTAGTGACTGGTGCAGCTGTTTTGGCCTTTGTCTGGTCCTGTTTTCTGATCCGAGTATGGTTGCGCCTGCAATCGAGGGAGTGGCGATCTGATGGTAAGTGCCCTAGAGTCGGTCTGTACTCAGAGTTGAGACATTCTGCTGATGGCGTGTGTGCAGATTGGTGGCTCGCAATAGCGACATTGCTCGACACGGTACAATCAGGAATCATATTCCATCTCGTCAACCTAGGCCTAGGAGCCTCACAAGTCGGAGTACCGCTGTCGCAACTGCAGCAACTTGGAAATGTACGTGTTGTTCAAGTTTTGGCGATTCAGCGACCCTCTGGATCCGCGCGTGGGTGTCGGCTCCTTGCTTCCTTCTGGCGTTCGCGCAGGGCAGCCGCGACCGAGTGAACCGCCGAACATCTGGGGAAACCGCGTCTAACAACCAACAGGAAGGTTTCGCGTCGCAGATCATTTATATCTTCGTTATACTCGCCTCGAAGCTATCAGTACTTTCTCTGTACCTACGGCTATCGCCAGGCGGATCTCATCGCATAGCATCTTGGTCGCTCGTAGCACTGTCCTGTCTATGGGCACTGGTATCCGTCATCCTGATTGCTATACCATGCAACCCTGCGCAAACATATACAGACGCGGGCAACTGTACGAACAGGGTAAGTCGACTATCCTAGGCGACTAGGCGCATTCTTTTCCTCGATGAAATACATCCACATACTAACGCACCACCACAGTGGCCAAAATGGCTCAGCATAGGCACCTTCGACATCCTGACCGAACTCCTAATGTTCCTCGCCGCAGTCCACCTAATCTACTCCCTCCAAATGCGCCTTCTCGCCAAACTCCTCGTAATCCTCGCTTTCTCCGCCCGCCTTCCGGTGATCGCAATCGCCGGAATTCGACTCTACTACCTGGACCTACGACTTAGCGGGTCAAACTTCACTTTCGACTATGTAATCGCTACGCAATGGCAGATGGGTTACGCGATTATGTCGAGTACGATAACGGGAATGGGTCCGTTCTTGAAGCCGTTTGATAAGGAGTACGTGAGTAGTACGTATAAGCAGTATGGAGAGGGGCATAGTGGGAGTGGGAGTGGGGGGAGGTCGAGAATGGAAAGTGCGTTGACGACGCATTCGAGTGGGATGTTACCGCCATCGAGGAGGCAGATGATGGGTCACCATCAACATTATGGCCATCATAGGCGGTCGGCGGATAACATCTCGGAATCGTATCTCATGGATACGTTGCCCAGTCGGCGGGCGAGCAAGCAGTCCCTGGGAGATCAAGACGGCTCCCATGGTCTTGAATTGATGCAATCCAGTAGTCCGACAAGAGCGTCGCCACCGGGGCATACTCACGGGTTTATGACGGCGGATGAGCATTTTCGTCCTACGCATATGTATCGTGGGCATGAAGCGGAAGTTTGGGTCGGAGAGAGGAGTTTGAGCATTACGAGGGAGGAGTTGGATAAGGCTGCGGAGTCTGGGGGGAATGGTTCCAAGTCTGGGACTAGGTTGGTGATTGGAAAGAAGAAGGAGTTTAAGATCGAAGTTGATCGGGCGAGCCGTATTGTGTAGGCCCTGTGCTGCATTGTTTGGGTGGATGGTTTGCTTCAAAACGAGTTTAAAATACCCCTCTGTAGTTTGCGTTGGTTCTGTGGGAAATTTGGCAGCGGAAAGAAGAGGAATACAGATATGACATTATGACATAGAAAGCCCTGTGGATTGAAGAATCTTATTAGCAACATGTCCGAAATTCCTGGAGAGTTGAAGATTGCCTGTATGTGCTGTGATGGTGAGAAAGAAGGACACAAGCGCGCATCTCAGCTGCATTGACGGTCTCCCTATTAGGTCCCCAGACTTCAGCTATTGCCGGTTCCATCACGGTGGATTGGTTCAACAGACATCAATAAGAACGCATTGTCAAAACTCCTGATTCCAATGGGGACCTATAATACAGCAAGCAAAACTAGCAGTCCTTGGCCATACGAGCTTTCCATCGTCCTGCCAAGTCAACGGTCAAGATGATATCCTGATACAATGCTTTTACGGTTCGTCCCATGCTTTCTATGCTTGTGCCCAACGATCGGGAATAGATGATAAGGAAATAAACACGGGTAATCGCAAACAGAGGTTGTGAGAAATGTTGGGGTCGCCGTAGTAGAGGGCCACCTCAACGTAGGGGGAATCGGTCGAATGTTGTAAAGGGTGCATCTGGGAAGATGTGTTTATGCGGAGAATCGACGCATAACCTTGGCGATGACTGGAGCTGTTAGATTGATACCGAACTAGGAGGTTCCGGTGTACGTACCGTGAAGAGCGACAACGCTGAAGATGAAGACAACGGACAGGGTCATGACTACGACGGGGTCGACCTTCAGACCGGGGGACTCATCGGTGTATAGCCCTGGAAATGGATGTTAGCCAATGTCCCACAGCTGTATCTCTGCCAACCGCCGCATGCCAAATCCGCTGCTAGCATAGCTGAGCAGCTCATTCTACTACACATCCTCCTCCTCTAACCAGCTCGGAGTGCACTTACTCAGCATAGTGCTTGAGCTGCCGCCAGCGCCGGCCGCCCTTGTGCTGCTTGGTCGCAGGTTCGCGGTCTTCTCGGCGCGGTCAGCCGCAGCTTTCCTGCGCATAACGGTCGCTGGGCCACCTGGGGGCTTTGGTGACGCAGGACGCGCGGTTGTTGAGCCCGTAGAGCCCGTGGCGGGGGAGGTAGCGCGTGCAGCAGACTATCGGCCATGTTAGCAATGATCTTGGTGTTCTGTGGTTTGGCTTGTGCATGAGGGTATTGTCGCAGGGCTTCTTGGATGAATCGAGAAACCATGACGTCTGAACGGATAGCAGACAGCTCGAGAAGTGACAGCACGCGACACCAGTCCAATAGTCTCTGAGACATGTCCTCATGCTCTTGCTCTCCTGTCGCATGCTCCGGAACGACAGCCAGGTGTCCTCGTGTGTCCAATGGCCGTCTATAGCGCCAAGGAAGGTGTTACTGACCATAATGTGTGTTTTTGACGGTGACCGGTGCGAGATGGACGGAGTGGTTGTGATGGAAGATGTTGTGCAAGCAGCTGGTGATAGTCGCTCGGCGGCTCTCAAAGGCCACGATTCTGGAGCTGGGGTTGCCGCGCCGCGCTAACCCTGACCTCGATTGCTTCGCTTAGAACGCCGCTAGTCAGGGTCACGTGTTAGCTCCTTCACCACGGCAGCGATTATCCCGAACGGGCAGGTACATAAACACAGCGGTGGTGTGAAAAATTTCACTGGAGACATCGCGCAAAGCATGTTCACCAAAAGGATGGTTCGTCCCAAGCCACTTTTCCCATTAGACCGTTTGATATACCAGGCCAGATAGCGTCCCAATATCATCAGCGTAGGACCTAGCCCACTTTCGATGATGTAGATGCCCTCGACCAGATCCGAAAGCTAGCAACCGGTAATAGCAAGTCATCCTTAAGCAAACTCCCGCAAGCCCCGTAAACCGATGCCGACCCTTAACCTTGCCTAGCAAACACCCATGTAACCGCCCGTAAGAGGTATATTATCTTCAGCAGACCCAGAGATGTGGAACGTAGGCGAGCATGCTGCAAGTGCGCCGCCAAACCCACAGGAAATATTCGCCGACCACCAATTGACCGGCTCCACCCATGGTTGTATCTGAAAGACCGACACAGTATGCCCGAGACACCTGAAATGCAGTAACTCCGGAGGTGCATCCTATCTCCCTAATCAAAACTCCGTTTTCTAACCCCAAACAGACGCCTGCACTCCCTGGGTGGGGGTGTTGCTCCAGGGTCCGTTGTTCCAAATACCAACGCCCTTGTCAGTGACAGTAGAAGAAGGGTTCATAGAAGCAGATGTCGTCATGTTGTTCTGCTCGCTCGCGTTGTACGAGTTGTAGCCGAGAGGCGACGGCAGCGGTGAGTTTGCGCGCTTGCCCAGGGCGGCACCACCTGGCTGCTGCAGGTTCTGGTTCTGGGGACGAGTGCCGATGGGGGCGACACCAGAGCCATTGGCCTTCTGACCGGGCACGGGAGGAGAGCCTCCGGGTGACGAGTTGGAAGTGCGGTTCGCCTGCTGCGCATCGAAGAGGTTGAACGCGGGGTTCTGAGTACCGGACGGCGAAGAGGTGCTGTTGGCACGAGCATCCTGGGCACCACCAGTAACGTCCTTGTCGCGGGGAGGCATCTGGACGGAGCCCTCGCCGGACTGGGCCTGCATGCCGAAGGGGTCAAAGGCGAGCGGAGAGGGGCCACGGCCGGCAGCAGAAGTCTGAACGCGGACATCCTGGCTCGAGGTGGGGTTGCTGTTGTACAGGGTGGAGGTCTCGCCATACAAAGCACGGTGCTGGCGGGCGATGAGTTCGCGGCGCTCATCTTCATTCATGGCATTGGGGCTCATGGAGCGGTCCGACTTGGAGCCTGAGCCTGAAACGTCTGTATTACCCTAGTCAACCAACTGTCCTGCCTATTGTTGCCCAGATTCCGAGTCCTTACTTCTGTGGTATTGCTGCTCCTGATGATAGTTGCGCAGCTCACGCTCACGCTGAGCCGCCATCCGTCGCTTCGCCTGTGCCATCTGGTCCGCGTCGTTGGGTCGGGGCGCATAGCCGCGCTGGTTCTGGTAGAAGCCCTGGACGTTGGTCGCCGAGTGGGAGCGGGAGCCGTCGTACTCGCTGACCGAGTGGTGGCGCTGGGGGCCGCCCATGCGCTGCTGCTCTGTGTCACATGTCAGTGGTGTGGAGGGGCATGCGTGGGCAGAAGTGTGTACCGAAGTCGGGGTATGGGCGGGGCGCGCCTCCCATCATGGGCATCGACTCGCGGCGGTTGGCGCCCATGGGGGTGGGAGGGAAGCCGGGGCCGAGGGGCTTGCCGCTCTTGCTGAGGTTCTCAATGGCGCGGTCGACCTCTGTGGTTACTGGTCAGCACTGCCTCGCCTATGCTTGCGACGGGGCCTGTCACTGCCATGTCGGGTCGCATTGGCTCTGACAGACCCCACCGCCGGAACTACGTACCCTCAAACTGCGAAGCAAAGGCATTGGCGACCTCGCTGTTGACTGTGGAGCTTGTGCCTACATCCATGTGAATCGCTGCACCTGCGCCGTTGAATCCCATGTGGCCGGTACCTGAGCGCGAGGGCGGTTGGGGCTGCTCCCATGACTGCTGGCGGCCGGGAGCGGGTGTGTTCCACGACGCGTCGTTGTAGTAGGACATGGCGGGCAAGAGGCAGTCCGGTGGCTTCGTGGGAGTCGGGGTAGTTGCGCAACGCCAAAGGGCTCGTGGGCGGGACTAGTCTAGATATTCTGAGTACACTGGTCAGTACGGTTGTTCTGGTCCAGCAATGGCACGCAGCAATTGGCGACTGAGGTTCGGCAACAAGAGGTTCGGCGGTCGGCGGCAGCCCGTGTTGACGATATGGGGGCGGGAAATGAGGTCGAGGCGGGCAGCGGAAAATTTTGGTGGAGAGCGGAGATGTTTTGGACACAGGGTCGTGCCGCGTACCGAAAAAAGTGAACCGTGAACTCACCTTCACCGCGAAAAAGGAGCGACAGCTGTTCACCGGGCAGGCAGCAAGTGAGGCACCAGGAAAAGCACAACTGAGAGCGGGTAGGGGTCAGGGAGGGACTTCGGGAGATATCGCGGGAATGTGAGGACATGGCGAAAGGGGATGCTGGATTCCTCGCGCTAAGCAGGCCGAGCAACGACCTATCCACTTAATTCATCTCCGCTTCGACGACACGGGCCTCACCAGCTGCATGCAATTAGTTCGACATGCCTTCCATCCCGTCCTGGTCCAACCGCGTACTTCGTATGACGGACGCCGCAGCCTCGCGTTGGTGGCTGCCATTGTCCTGGAAGCCCAACTCTACGGCTCTTCAGCGGTCGGCGAAGTGGAAGAGCTGGCGGATGACGTCCGAGAGGGGCAGCTGCATGTCGTCGTCGAGGACTGCGGGATATGCAGTGCGAGCAGCGGGCGCGTTTAGCGAACCTGCAACCGTCGTTCGGGCTCTCACCACCCTATCTGTCGTCGGCTATTCGCAACAAAGCCCCGCGCGTCTCCTTTACACGTGGACCCTACCGCTCTGGCTTTGTCACGGCCCTGACATACACCGACTCAGGGTCTGCGTCCTCCCATAGACATCTACAGCTGCGTCGTGGCCGTCATCTGCGAACCTCGCGTTCGCAGTGCCCCGCCAGTGCGCCCGCGAGTGCAGCAATCCATGGCTGCCAGGCCGACGCATGCCACGCCGTGCTGCCAGCATGATCACTGCCCTCCACCATCACGCACCATGTGGAAGCGCTTGGGCTGTGATGCGGGGCAATCGGACGAGCAATGTGGGCTGCCTCCAATAAGCACCCACCAAAGACAGACATTCGTGAAAATATCGAATTGTGGCTTGCTTCTCCATCTGAGCACATGCACATCCATCAGAGAGATGATGCTCCTACCATCGGTGTGGTTGTCGCCTGAGTCCGTTTGGCTCAGAGAAGACCAAGATGGCCAACGTCGGTGCCGGCCTTGTTTCCAGATGAGGTTTAACAAAGTCAAGATAGCAACGCCATGCACGCCGAGCTTCGCATGCTGATATGCGACGTCAATACCCATCCACGATGTGGGGGGTCGGAATGCGCTGCCGAGTCTCCAGATACACAAGTCTTTATACAAAGCCCGCCGACGCTCGAAAACACCTCACTGTATGCGCAATAACAAAATGGCACGTGCGTGAACCGACCAACACAGACAAGGGTACAACCCATTCGGCTAGGCCTGCGCTCCCGCATACCCCAGCTTCTGTAGTTCGCCAACTTCGCCTACACTCCGCCGTTGCGCTATAGCCTCCAAAAGTAAGCCTTGCACACGTCATCCTGAGGAATGTATTCTCCTTTCGCCTATCCGCTCAGTCACCCTGTCCGTTCCATTCCATCGTCATCACACATTTCGAGTCATCAAAATCCAACGCTCTTTCCCCTTTCATTTCTTGATATCACGCGCCTGCCACCGATCATGAGTCTAGGCATCACTCAAGCCATCAGCCACACCTCCGACATGACCACTCATCCTCCCTTGCAACATATACGCCCGATAAGCCCGTCACACATGATGAAGCGCAACGCCCACCTCACGCATGAATATGAGACACGGCTCTTGGAAAGAAGGCGAAATCATGGATCCCTTATTAGCAGCGAATTCACCCTTCGACGGACGGGCGCTGTTCGCCTTTACAGTCGGACGTGAAATGTCACAACGGTGGCTATACAGTGTGAATGACTCCACCGATATGGCTACGCAAATGGCCTCGCCTTGTGCGCGAGCGTACTGCATCGACCTCCTCCTGCGACTGTTTCCAATCCTCAGATCACGAAGATCCACAAAGCATCAACAGCCACCTCTGCCGAGCGTACAAGAAGACATGCCCGCGACACCAGCACAGCTCATCAACCTCCCGACTGAGCTCATCCTCGATATCGCAGACATTCTTCCGCATGATGCGATAGTCGCCCTAGGGCTCACACAACGACGAGTCAACAGCATAATATGGCTTAATCAGCGACGATGGCAAACTCCACGCCCACGATGTGTACAACGCGCCATTCAACGTCATCTAGCTCCACCGTCTTCGAAACCCACCCATCGATACTGTATCTTGTGCAGGGTTACATGCCCGATCGGTAGTTTCAAGTCATCGCTCAGTCCAGCCTGTCTGCCCATGGCGAGAGTCAACGTTCTGCACGACGTTATCGAACTACCACCAAACGTCTGCTTCTGCCATGTTGCAAGGTTCACGATGCATATCAAAACCGGGCCTGGAACCATTCTTCCGCCAAGAAACGCATGGGTTAGTCAAAGGATCAAGATATGCCTACACTGTGGAAAGACTAGTTGGGATTTGGACAAGTGCAATTCCGCATGCCCAACCTGTCTGACTGGGGAAGTAACGACGTACATCCGATATTTCACACCGCGTGAAGAGAAACCAAAGTTCGTTTTCTGGAGGGAGACTCCCAGACCAGAGGAGCAGGGAGCAGGTCAACTTTGGGTTCGGGAGACTCACAAGGATGCGGTCGACACTGTGTCAGTCATCAACTTTCGCGTCCTGTCTGAGTAAGCCCCGAAGATGGAGGAGCAGGTTTGACGTTGAGCTTGAATCGCAATCCAACCAGTCTGGGAAGCTACACTTCATGCGCGAGCTGGTCTCGCGATTTGCGCCAATTTTGTTTATACTCTTTATTTCATAAGTCATTTAGAACCCCGTCTTTTCATCAAACATAAAATCGTCCCTCCGCACAAGGTCAGCCTTTTCCACATCCCCCTCGCCACTCCTATCCTGACCACCTAACTCCTGCCCCCACGCCCTCACACTGCACAGTGCCCACCACTGCGCGCCCATCAGACTTAAACCCAGTCCCGCAATCGCAAACTTGACAACAATAAAAGTCATCGAGCACTTCTCCAACCACTCGTCGTCCCATCCAAACCCCGCATCGATATCGCGACACAACAACGACCCATCAACGGCATAGCTCGGAATAACCGGATTGAGTAACCGGAAGTCGAAGGGCAGAATCAGGTTTACGAGCGCGATGGTGACGAAGGAGAGGGTGATGGCGTGGACGATGGTGTAAGCTGACACTAGCCGCGGTAACAACTAGAAACGGGGCGTTAGCACATTTCCGCCTCGTCTTACTAATTGTCTTGAACATGTCTTGGATGTTGCTTTCCTCCGCGCGAACCCGGACCCATCCAAGACCCGCCAGTCGCACGAATCGCGGGGACAAAGAAAGTGGCTTGCTTGCTTACCCGTATAGCGCCCACGAGGCCTAATATGCTTGCGCTGCCGGCGATGGCATTGTATGTGATGGAGAAAACGGCGCGATTGGGATCTGAGCCTGGGAGGAGGAAGGAGAGGGCGAGGAGCGTGTGTGTGCAAAGTGTAAGGGAAGGGAGCACGACGGCTAGGAATCTGTGGGAGAGCAAAGTCAGCATTTGCTACATGGCGCAAGCTTCGCGCGTTTGCGAACATACCTCATCTGCTTTTGCTCGACCGATAGTGTCATGTTTCCCGTTTGGTCCAGGCCAGGGAATTGAGAATGGGATTCAGGTATGACGGTGTGGATGTGGATGCGGATGCGGATGCGCCTTGATCAGGACTCCAAATAACAATGCGCTGCGCTGCGTTGCGTTTCGTTTCGTTCGGGCGTGATGCGCGTAAAACGTTCGTATAAAAAGCAGATTCAAATCAAATACGTCAGACAGACTCCGGGGGTGGGTATCAAACAGCAGATCAGTACCGGCGCGTCGGAATTCAGGATCAGGAAGGAGCAGAAGCAAAAGCGAAGGATCCGGCACAGCTTTCTTGTATGTATCTCGTAGTCTTTCGCGGGTAACTAGCTAGCAGGTAGCTAGTAAGTAGTACAATCGTAATCGCAATAATCGCAAGCCGGTTGCCGGAGAGTAGTCAAAGTCAAGAGGAGAAAACGTGGTCTCGCGTGCAGTAGTCAAGTAAAGTAAATAGCCAACGACCTCGGAAGCTTGATGTCAGTTTTGCCTGAGTTGGCCGATAGAAAGAGCCTCTGGATTGTTAATCGGTCCTGCGTTTCGGTGTTCCGATGCAAAAGATTTAACTTTGTCGTGACCTAGTACACATGGCATGAGCTTTTTTTTCGGACTAGCTCCGGGATCCGCGGATGCAGGATGCACTATGAGGTGCCCTGCGATGTGCGGCGGACGACTCGGACGATGCGCGTGCGTTGTGTGATGTCACGGGTTGAGGATCTTTTGGGTCGCTATAATGCGCACGCGCGTTTTGATTACATCGTGAAACTGGTACGCAAGCTGAGTAGCTTTCACGCAACCTTCTACTCCACATCCACGCGCGCAATTCACCTCTGAAGTCCAAATGCGCCATCAACAACACGCATCACACAAACAGGTCTAGCCCTAGTCCCCCAGCCCTTGCCATGTGTGGTGCATGTGCCAATGCCAATGCGGATCATGCGGCAAGCGGTTGTTCCAGTGGAACACCTTCCGGAGCTTAGCGGAAACAAGAACCTCGAAGACCTAGAATCGCAAGCGCGTCATTCCGTGCCTCCAGGTCCAAACGTTATCTATGTCTTTCTTGGATATGCCGCGCTTGTACGGCTGTCGGCAGGTGTCTTCTGCCTAGGTATGCGCTGCCCCGCAACTGAGGGCGTAGTGCATTTCCATGGCTGAT